AACGCATTAACAGCTTTTCGTAGGCGGTACTCGCCAACAGCACTTGCCCCGAAAAGGTATGTTACATCCGTTACAGGCTATACGGGGGCTCTTTGTTTTTGTTGTTGTCTGAAGCTGGGGGAGCGGTCGTGCAGTGGTTAGCGGCGAATTGCGCTACGGATCCGCTCGGGGCAACCACCAACACCAGAGACGATTATCGGAAGCGGTTCTGCCCCCCCCCCACCCCCCCCCCAGGTCGACTCAGCCTCAAATTTAGTATCCCGTGTTGGTGTGTAAACATCACCACTCACACAGCACTTGCCCGAACAGTAAGTTAAGGCTGTGAGCTGAACTTGGCCCGCGTGCCCGGCCACAACATTCCCAGCTACCGCACGCCCAGCCACCGCACGCCCGGCCAAACAGCTCCTGTTTGGCCGGATCGAGGGGGCCAAATGGGCGCGGCACGGGCTGGAGATGAGATGGAGCGGATGCGTGAGCGGGCTGGGTGAATGGGGTGAGCGAGTGAGTGACGTGGGTTAGTGGCACGGGCTAGAGAAGAGACGGAGTGACGTGGCACAGGAGGACGTGGAGCTGAGTGGACTTGCCGATGAGCGGTACCAGCGGTGTCCGGATCGGCCTCTGTGGAGGAGGCTCGTGAAGGACGCTACTGGGCAGTTGGAGGCAGTCGCCCTCCAACAACAACGGAGGGCGGTGGAGCGACGCTCACAACAATGAGCGGAGCAGCGGGCGGCTAAAACGCAGCAGTCGTTTCAGTGAACCCGTAGCACCTGCTGGGTCTGTCCCCGTGACCTCCCGCCAGCAGCAAGCCTTCCACACTCCACGTGGCCTCAAAGTGCGCCTACAGCCTTGACTTTCTGTTAGGGAAAGTGCTGTTAGCTCGGTGACCATTGGCAGTAGGGGAAGTTACTGGACATCGCCGTTACATAGAGATCCATAGAGTTCCGTAGAGTTACATAGAGATCCACAGAGTTGCACAGTTATATAGAGATCCACAGAGGTCCGTAGAGTTACATAGAGATCCACAGAGTTCCACAGTTACATAGAGATCCACAGAGTTCCACAGTTACATAGAGATCCACAGAGTCCCGTAGAGTTACATAGAGATCCACAGAGTTCCACAGTTACATAGAGATCCACAGAGTTCCGTAGAGTTACACAGAGATCCACAGAGTTCCGTAGAGTTACATAGAGACCCACAGAGTTCCGTAGAGTTACAGAGAGATCCACAGAGTTCCGTAGAGTTACATAGAGATCCATAGAGTTCCACAGTTACATAGAGATCCACAGAGTTCCGTAGAGTTACAGAGAGATCCACAGAGTTCCGTAGAGTTACAGAGAGATCCACAGAGTTCCGTAGAGTTACATAGAGATCCACAGAGACTCAGCAGTTACATGGCGTGGCAGGGTGCAGTGAATGTGGTGCAACTTAGTGGTGATGATGATGGTGGTGTTGTAGTTTAACACGTAGGCTTTCGCGACTAATACCATCCATAATAAAGGTTTTTTTTTTCATTTGGGGGTGGGGGGTTAGATTTGTTGTAGTCTAAAAGCATGGGCCACCGTGTGGCGGGTGGTTATGGAGCAACCCAGACCCAGGAGGTTGCCTTGGGGCTGAGATGACTGGCAGATGCACCAGCTCTGCTGCCTACTGTGCCAGGCTAGGTGCAGGAGGTCACGGGGTCAGACCCAGCAGGTTGCCTTGGGGCTGACTCAGATGACTGGCAGATGCACCAGCTCTGCTGCCTACTGTGCCAGGCTAGGTGCAGGTCATGGGGTCAGACTCAGCAGGTTGCCTTGGGGCTGAGATGACTGGCAGATGCACCAGCTCTGCTGCCTACTGTGCCAGGCTAGGTGCAGGTCATGGGGTCAGACTCAGCAGGTTGCCTTGGGGCTGAGATGACTGGCAGATGCACCAGCTCTGCTGCCTACTGTGCCAGGCTAGGTGCAGGTCATGGGGTCAGACCCAGCAGGTTGCCATGGGGCTGAGATGACTGGCAGATGCACCAGCTGTGCCGCCTACTGTGCCAGGCTAGGTGCAGGTCATGGGGTCAGACCCAGCAGGTGCCATGGGTTTGACCGACTGACATCACTACTAGCATGTGCACCACCGGCTGACCCCTGATAGAATGACACCTACACACAGAGCAACACCGCCCCCTACCGCGAAACCTCGGCCAAGTCTTCGCACCAACGCGCGGTGCTCGCACTATGGGGCCGCCCATAAATGACGTCACGCACCTGTGGGGGGGGGGGGTCAGACATTTGTGACGATGTGTGACATGGAAGGGGGGGGGGGGGTGGAGAAATATAGACAACACGTTCTACTTAATTAAATTGACTTTTTAATAAATGTCTTCTCCTACAACATCAGAGTGCAGCGCCACATTAAATACGCACTACAATGACAACAGTTTAAAGCGATTTGAAGCATCATTAGACCTCTTTTGCCAGTACCAAAATATAATAATAATAGGGTTTTTCCCCTGTTTTCTGGCAACAAAACTGAAACCTTTAAACAAGGATTCATGTTTACTGCATTGACCACAATACCTGCAGTCAAAATGTAAACAAAAAAAACATACTATTATAATATATGCAGTACGCCTTTTGGCGTCATCTGGTCGAGCACCAATTGGGTCGAGGCTCAAAAGAAAGCCGTCCCTTGGTGTGGGCCAATCAGTTTCAAGGACAATGCATCATCATATTATCATAGTATGTTTTTTGTTTGCATTTTGACTGCAGGTAATGTTAACATGAATCCTTGTAACAAAAAGGTTTCAATTTTGTTGCCATAAAAAAGGGGGAAAATCCTATCATTACGATTTTAAGCATGTTTTATATATTTTTTTTTTGGGGGGGGGATGGGGGCAGAGCTTTGTGACGTCACATTTGAGGAGGGGGGGGCGGGTCTGACTTTTTGTGACGCCGTGTGACCATGGGGGGGGGTGGAGGGTCAAAATACGTCCAAAATCGCGTGACGTCATTTATGGACGGCGCCCCCCCCCCCCCCCGCCATCACAAGTCGCGCGCTCAAACCGAGCAGATGCGTTGCTCCGGTTCGCCCGAAGTTCCACGCGACCGTCCACCCGCAAGTCCAGCGAGTCGCCACGTGTTCTTGATTCGACGTTGATTGGGAGCCTGGAAAGTTTTGATGGCCAGCGAGAGACGGCGCGCAGCATCGATCCGGTCCGCGGAAAATGTTTCCGCTTCGGGATTGTAATCCGCGGGTCCGGAAAATCGTCGGCGGACACCGTCCTCCCCGTCACGAGCGCGGGTTGTCGAGAGCCCTGCTGCTGCGGTGATGGTTTTTTTCCCAAAAACAAATAAATAAATACACGACGCGCTACATTTCGCGCAAATCTTCTTTGGTTCTTTCGGTAAAGTCACGTAGAATGAGAATAAAATAATGAATTGATAAAATAACGCAATAATATTCTCACGACGTTTCGGCCACAACACAAGCGGCCTTCATCAGGTGAAGGGACGCTTGTGTTGTGGCCGAAACGTCGTGAGAATTTTATTGTGTTATTTTATTTTATCAATTTATTATTTTATTCTCATTCTACGTGACTTTACAGGAAAGAACCAAAGAAGATGAATCCTTGCAGTCACGAAAGCTTTGAATCGAAATTTCGCGCAAAGTTGAAGATTGAAACGCCGTTGGCGCATTTGAAACTCGCGCAGACAATTCGCTCGGAGGGCGCTGGAGAAGCCCCCCCCCCCCCCGAGACGAAACGTTCAACGCTTAAGCGGTAGTAGAAGCAGGTTTGTGTGAACAGAATTATCCGTAACGAAGGATATCTTTTTTGTAATTACGGAAAATTTTAATGAATATAAACGTGCCGTTAAACCCGCCACCACCCGACTCAGCCAATTTAGTCAGCGTTTGTCACGTGAACGCAACGTGCTCAGCACGGTTGGCGAAGTAGCGGTGGCGAAATAAATTCAACATACTGTACACACGTAGACTCGCGCAGAGATCCATAGACTCACACAGAGATCCATAGACTCACACAGAGATCCATAGACTTACACAGAGATCCATAGACTCACACAGAGATCCATAAACTCGCGCAGAGACCCGTAGACTCACACAGAGATCCATCGACTCGCGCAGAGATCCATAGACTCGCGCAGAGATCCATAGACTCGCGCAGAGATCCATAGACTCACGCAGAGATCTATAGACTCACACAGAGACCCATAGACTCACACAGAGACCCATAGACTTACACAGAGATCCATAGACTCGTACAGAGATCCATAGACTCGTACAGAGATCCATAGACTCACACAGAGATCCATAGACTCACAAAGATCCATAGACCCACAGAGAGACCCATAGACTCACACAGATCCACAGACTCACACAGAGATCCATAGACTTACACAGAGACCCATAGACTCACACAGAGATCCATAGAATCACACAAAGACCCATAGATTCACACAGAGATCCAGACTCACACAGAGATCCACAGACTTACACAGAGATCCATCGACTCGCGCAGAGATCCATAGACTCACACAGAGATCCATAGACTCGCGCAGAGACCCGTAGACTCACACAGAGATCCATAGACTTACACAGAGATCCACAGACTCACACAGAGATCCATAGACTCACACAGAGACCCATAGACTCACACAGAGACCCATCGACTCACACAGAGACCCATAGACTCACACAGAGACCCATAGACTCACACAGAGATCCAGAGAATCACACAGAGACCCATAGACTCACACAGAGACCCATAGACTCACACAGAGACCCATAGACTCACACAGAGATCCAGAGAATCACACAGAGACCCATAGACTCACACAGAGACCCATAGACTCACACAGAGATCCATAGACTCACACAGAGACCCACAGACTCACACAGAGACCGATAGACTAACACAGAGACCCATAGACTCACACAGAGACCCATAGACTCACACAGAGACCCATAGACTCACACAGAGACCCATAGACTCACACAGAGACCCATAGACTCATACAGAGATCCATAGTTTATTGTCCTTCCCCCCGCAACTTCGATTAGCGCGGTTGGCTACGTAACCGTGGTGACCAGGGGCTGAGCCAGCGACCTTCCGACCTGGGGATGAAGCCAGCGACCTTCTGACCTGCGGGTCAAGCTCTACGGCCACGGTGACCCCCCCCACCTCCACCAACTTCAAGGGGGTGGGGGAGGTGGGGAGGGGGCAGGTCAACAGTCTTCCGCGGTGGGGGGGAGGGGAAGGGTCCTCCGCGTGACGTCCAGCGTCACGACGATCCGTCGTCCGCGAGGGCCAGCAAGGAGCGGACGTTAACCGCAAACTCTGCCCCCTCCGAGGAGGAGGAGGAGGAGGAGGCGCTCCGTGCGAACTGAACCGGGCGAAAACCTTCGCCGGGCGGCTCCGGGACGCAGGAGCAGTGGAGCTGACAGAGGCTGAGCCAGACCCGATCGGGGTCCACGGCCATGACGCTCTGCAGCAGCCTGGCCCACGAGGCGGTGGGGAGAAATAAATTATTAAAATGTAAAGATAAAATAAACGCGCCGCACACGGGCTCAGTCCGTGTGCGGCGGAACGGGTACGACCCACGGCACGACGTAGCCGACATCGTCGTCGTCGTCGCATCATCATCATCGTCGTCGTTACATCATCATCGTCGTCGTCGTCTTCATCGTCGCATCATCTTCATCATCGTCATTGTCGTCATCATCGTCATCATCGTCATTGTCGTCATCGTCGTCATCATCGTCGCCGACGCATCGTCGTCGTCATCATCGTCGCATCATCGTTATCGTCGTCGTCATCATCGTCGCGACGTCATCATCGTCGTCGCCGTCATCATCGTCCTCATCATCATCATCATCGTCGTCATCGTCGCATCATCGTTATCGTCATCACCGTCGTCGTCACTGTCGTCGTCGTCATCGTCGTCATCGTCGTGTTGACGTCGTCGCGTTGTCATCGTTATCGTCATCGTTATCGTTATCGTCGTCATCGTCATCGTCGTCGCCATCGTCGCATCGCTCTCCGCCGCTGATGTCGCCCTGCACGGAAGCCAATGGAGCTGTGAACTTTGGAATCATCGAGAGTGAAAACTAATTTCTTTAGGCCTGCTTCGCTGTGTTTTGTTCGCCGTCCTCCGCCCCCCCCACCCCCAGCACCTCCGATCAGAACGGCTGCCTACGTACGCTGGCGAAAACAGTTCAACGCGCAGACGCCCCAACAGCACCGCTGGCAATGAGAGAGCGCGGGGGCTCACCCCTTAGCTGCCTCCTGCAGCACGATCGGCTGGTGGCAGCTGAGGTAGGGCAAGGCAGCGTTCACCACCGTGTCCAGATCTCCGTTGCCTGAGGTCAAACAAAACAAAACACACATGCACGAACACACACACACACGCATGCACGGATATCCTTCTTTTAGTTTTTTCATCACGTATCGTAATGACGACGCGCGTGTTTTTGGGACGTACGTATTTATATATTTACACACACACACAGAGTCATTGGTGCAAAATGGGAGAACAAAGCAGCCGCCAGTAGCCAGGAACCGGGCGCTGCCAACGACTGCCCCGTGCACTGCGATCCTATTGGTCGGGAGCTTTGGCCAACACCTCCCGCTACGTAGGGTTTCGACGTACACACGTGCACGCACGCGCACGCGCGCTGAACGAGCGTTCACACGTGCGAAAGGAAACCGCTCGGCCACCTTTGCCTCCCCAGTGGCAATGTTTACTGCACACCGCGCCAGGTGCTCCTTTAAGGCCGAGCCGACCTAGGGGAGGCGCAGGGCCGCTTCGGAGGATTGTAACTGACGACGTTGCGGGGGCTTGCGAGCGCGACTCGAACCCCCGGGGTCGCAGCGCTGCGCGCTCACCGCTACACTCCCACCGCTCCCCCACACAAGACTTCATGGGCAAGCGCTGTTAGCGAGCAGCACCTGTGACAACTGGCGCGGGGCAAGAGGGGGTGGGTGGCCAGCCACCACGCCCGGCCGCCTTTGTCTCCGCAGTGGCGATGTTTTACTACACACCGCACCCAGGTACTCATTTGAGGCCGAGTCGACCTAAGCGAGGCCCTGGACTGGTTCAGATCATCGTCACCGGTGTTGACCGCGCACGAGACTCGAACTTGGGTCGCCGAGTTCGTAGCGCAGCGCGCTAAGCCGCCACCTCCCCCCACAGATGCACACAGACAAAAACACACACGCACAAACACAAAAAAATAAAGGCGCACAAACACAAAAAAATAAAAGCACGCGCACACACACACGCGCACGCGCCGTGCGAGCGCTCATGAATAGATGAGCGCACATTAATAATTCATCCCCACACCTTCGCTCTGGCGCCATGCCGTTAGTCACAAAACACACAGGCTGCACACGCACACGCACGGAACGCACGCACCAACGCACGCACACGCCAACGCACGTGAAGACACACCAACCCGCGCGCACACAGAACACACGCGCCAACGCACGCACACGCGCGGAATGCACGCACCAACACACACACAGAAGGCACGCAAAACAAACAACACGCGTACACCAACACCGACGACATCAACCGCCGTTCACCACCGAATGACGGTGATGTCACCACGACGCATCGCGCCAAGCCAGGCCCGGCCAGGCCAGGCCGGTTCAGGCCAGTTCAGGGCAGTTCAGACCAGTTCAGGCCAGGCCAGGCCAGGCCAGGCCAAGCCAGGCCAAGCCAGGCCAAGCCAGACCAGGCCAGGCCAGGTCAGTTCAGTGCAGGCCAGGCCAAGCCCGGCCCGGCCAGTTCAGGCCAGGCCAGGCCAAGCCAGGCCAGGCCAGTTCAGGCCAGGCCAAGCCAGGCCAGGCCACTTCAGGCCTGGCCCGGCCAGTTCAGGCCAGGCCAAGCCAGGCCAAGCCAGACCAGGCCAGGCCAGGCGAGGCCAGGCCAGGTCAGTTCAGTTCAGTGCAGGCCAGGCCAGGCCAAGCCAGGCCAAGCCAGGCCAGTTCAGGCCAGGCCAGGCCAGACCAAGCCAGGCCAGGCCAGGTCAGTGCAGGCCAGGCCAGGTCAGTGCAGGCCAGGCCAGGTCAGTGCAGGCCAGGCCAGGCCAGGCCAAGCCAGGCCAGGCCCGTTTGCGCTCTGTGGATGCCACTGAGCGACCCGTCACCGCTCTCACCGAGCCGCAGGGCAACGGCCAGAGGCCCCAGGCTGTCGAGGGCGGCCGCCTGCAGGCGGCAGGCGAGCGATCGCGGGTACAGGGGCGGCCCTCGCCGCCGACCCCCGGCCCCCGCGGCGGCGCTCGCGGCCGCCCTGGCCGCTAGCGAGGCGGCGACGGGGCCCAGCAGCTCGCCGGAGACGCGCCGGCGCAGGAAGTCGCCGCAGACGCGCGACAGCGACACCAGGGTCTGGGTGGTGGTGGGGGGGGATAGGGGACAGAGTTTAATGGGGGTGGTGATGCGGCTCACAGAGACGAGGAGGTCGCGTGTCCGTGCGTGTTGAACGTCTTTCGCACCGCCGTACGTAGCCAACCGTGCGGGGGAAAGACAACAGACTATGAGTCTCGGTGTGGTGATTCTATGGGCCTCTGTGTGGTGAGTCTATGGGTCTCTGTGAAAGTCTATGGGTCTATGCGTGAGTCTCTGAGTCGTAAGTTCAACCGCCGCACAATAGATGGCGGTGGTGGCATCTACATCTGTAGAACGTGAATAACCAGTGGCATCTACATCTACAGAACGTGAATAACTAGTGGCATCTACATCTGCAGAACGTGAAGAACCAGTGGCATCTACATCTGTAGAACGTGAATAACCAGTGGCATCTACATCTACAGAACGTGAAGAACCAGTGGCATCTACATCTACAGAACGTGAAGAACCAGTGGCATCTACATCTACAGAACGTGAAGAACCAGTGGCATCTACATCTGCAGAACGTGAAGAACCAGTGGCATCTACATCTACAGAACGTGAAGAACCAGTGGCATCTACATCTGCAGAACGTGAAGAACCAGTGGCATCTACATCTACAGAACGTGAAGAACCAGTGGCATCTACATCTGCAGAACGTGAAGAACTAGTGGCATCTACATCTGCAGAACATGAAGAATCAGTGGCATCTACATCTGCAGAATGTGAAGAACCAGTGGCATCTACATCTGCAGGAGATTATACAACTTTCAAATCTATTTCCCGTGTTTAGTGTACACGCCGTACACCACGTTTGGAATCCACAGAAGTAAAGTTAGACTTACTATCAAATGAACTAACAAACAGACCTCTGGAACCTAACTCGTTCGTAAGTAGAGGAATCCCTGTAGATACATTTTTGCAGTTTTGTAAAGATCAAATGCGAGCTTGGGCAAGACTGTCACGGTGGAGAGATGTTAACTACCTCGCCTGGTATGCAGGAGGTGGTGGGTTCGATCCCGACCCTGACGCCTGCTGCTGCTGTATATTTGGAGTTTGCGTGTCTCTCTCTCTCATCATCATAACGGTGGCTAGGAGATGTTAACTACCTCGCCAGGTGTACAGGAGGTCGTGGGTTCGATCCCGACCCTGACGCCTGCTGCTGTATATTTGGAGTTTGCGTGTCTCTCTCTCTCATCATAACGGTGGCTAGGAGATGTTAACTACCTCGCCTGGTGTACAGGAGGTTGTGGGTTCGATCCCGACCCTGACGCCTGCTGCTGCTGCTGTATATTTGGAGTTTGCGTGTCTCTCTCTCTCTCCCCGTGGTCGCGTGGATTTTTTCTCTGGGTCCTTCGTTGTTTCCCTCCACATTTAGAATCAACGTCACTGCTATAAATGTCCCCGTGATGATGATGATGACGAGTCACTTTGTTGGGCTATCATTTGTGATCGCCAGGTCGCTTCTGAAAAAATAAGCAAGCAAGCTCAGTGGGGCCTTATCTGGTAAAATAAAATTAGTAGAATAGTTCGGAAAGAGCCAGCGGAAAACGGCGCTCCAGAGATGGCTCGGCTCGCGTGAGCCAGCGGAAAAATGGGTTCGCGGGTGGCTCACTTTGTGGCGCACCGTCCCACACGTAGGTCCGCTCAGACGCGACGGCACCTTGAATGCGGCGAGGATGACGCGCCACTCGTCGCCGGTGAGCCTCTGGACGAGCGCCGGCCACAGGCGGTGAGCCATGGGGAGGCAGGAATCCTCGCGGGCGGCCAGAACGCCCATACCCAGCCGTACCACCTCCAGCATCTACACGCACAGGGATGCAAAAGACAAACATCTCCCGTGTAGCCTTAACAGACTGTTGGGGCAAGTGCTGTTAGCGAGCACCTGTGAAGGCCGGCACGGCGCAACCAGAGGGTGGGTGGCCAGCACCACGCCCGGCCGCCTTTGTCTCCCCGGTGGCGATGTTCACTCCGCACCGCACGGGGCACTCATTGCGAGGCCGAGTCGCCCTAGGGGAGGGCCCAGGACCGGTTCAGACAATCGTCACCGGTGTTGGCCGTGAGCGGGAATCGAACTCGGGTCGCCGGGTTCGCAGTGCAGATTCACACCCCCCCCCACAGTCACCCCACACTCCCCCCAGGAGCCACACACAGAGCGAGCGATCGTGCGGGTCGGGTTAAAGAAGCTCCTGGGCCCTGTGTGTGGGCCCCATGTGTGGGCACCCCCTCCTCCTCCCCCAGACACCGCGTCACAGCCACGGGCTAGGCACCTCAACAACCCCGGACGACCCCCCCCCCCCCACCACCCCCACCACCCCCACCATCACCCCCCCCCCCCCCCAGCGGTGGAACTTTGCGCCCGTCTCACCGTGAGCCGCACGGCGACGTCGCGATGCGACAGGAGGTGCACGCTCCGCTCCAGCAGCGCCCGGCAGAGCTCCAGCTGGGGAGGCAGCGCCGGCTTCTTGTCGTAGCCGGCATCATCATCCTCGTCCTGCTTCACCTCCTCCTCCTTCAGCTCCTCCTCATCTGTCCCCTCCCCTAACCCTGCCCCCAGCTCTGCCCCTAGGCCCGCACACGGAGGGGAGGGGGGACGGGGGGGTCACGACACCGCCGATTAGCAGGCTTGGCTACGTTACGGCGCCAAAGAAATTCAACGTGTGTGCACGAGTGAGCGAATGAGCGAGCGGGTGAATGAGTCAACGAATGAGTCAATGAATGAGTGAAGGAGTGAGTAACTGAATGAGCGAAGGAGTGAGTAAATGCACGAGGCAATGAGTGAACGAGTGAATGCGTGCGCAAGTTAACCAAGCGCGTTCATGAGCGAGTAAATGAGTGAATGGACGAGTGAGCAAACAGGTGAACGAGCGGGTGAATGAGTGCACAGCTGAGCGGGTGAATGAACGAGGGGGGAACGAGTAGAATGAATGATCGAGCGAGCGAGCGAGCGAGCGAGCGGGCGAACGCGAGAACGAACGAGCGAGCCGACGAATCGCCACGCGGGTACCGGCGTCGCCGCCGCCGCCGCCGTCGCCGTCAACCTCCTCCTCCGGCCCCACGATGCCGGACGCGAGCTGTGTCTGCCGGTGGTGGTCGCGCAGAAACTCCGCCACCGCCTCCGGGGAGCAGGCCGTGCGGCCTTCTTCCCCGCGCGGCCCCGGCGGCCCCGGCGGCCCCGGCGTCCGGGCTCCCGCGCCACCGCTGTCGCCGCTCCTTCTCCGCTCGTTCCCGGAGGCCGTCGTGTCCGGGCCCGGAAACCACTTGTCTGGCCGCGGGAGAAAAACCGAGCCGGAGCGTCGCCGCCGGCCCCGCCGCCGGATTAACTAAGCGATTTTTTTTTTGTATTTTTTGCTTGCCCAGCTAAGGGCCCCCCCCCCCCCACTGAGCTACGCAGCTCTTTGTCAGAAGCGACAAAAGATGGCCCAACAAGATGGCGGCTCGTCGTCGTCGTCGTCGTCGTCCTCGTCGTGTGGAAATTTACAGCAGCGGGCCAAAAAAATAACTCTAAAACGCGCGACGTTCATTCCAAATTGTTGAGGGGAAAAAAAAACGAAGGAGGGACACGCAAGCTCCACATACAGCAGCAGGCATCAGGGTCGCGATCGAACCCACGACCTCCTGTGCACCTGGCGAGGTAGTTAACATCTCATAGCCACCGCAGCATCCTGGGTGCTGCGTGCGGTGGATGCCAACGTGGGGAGAGGCTCACGACGGACGCCACGAGGACCCCCATCCACCACCCTCCGCTGTAGGAGCGACACTCACAGCAGCTTGCAGCAACGAGCGGAGTGCCCGGGGTGGATAAAACGCAGCGACTTGTCACAGTGGGGAGCTGTCGTGGTTGCTGCTGTGTGTCTGCCCTGTGTGTGTGTGTGTGTGCCCTGTGTGTGTGTGCCCTGTGTGTGCGTGTGTTCTGTGTGTGTGTGTGCCCTGTGTGTGTGTGTGTTCCCTGCGTGTGCGTGTGTTCTGTGTGTGTGCGTGCCCTGTGTGTGTGTGTTCTGTGTGTGTGTGCATGCCCTGTGTGTGTGTGTGTGCCCTGTGTGTGTGCCCTGTGTGTGCGTGTGTTCTGTGTGTGTGTGTGCCCTGTGTGTGTGTGTGCCCTGTGTGTGTGCCCTGTGTGTGCGTGTGTTCTGTGTGTGTGCGTGCCCTGTGTGTGTGTGTCCTGTGTGCGTGCCCTGTGTGTGTGTGTGTGCCCTGTGTGTGTGTGTGCCCTGTGTGTGCGTGTGTTCTGTGTGTGTGTGTGTGTGCCCTGTGTGTGTGTGTGTTCCCTGTGTGTGCGTGTGTTCTGTGTGTGTGTGTGCCCTGTGTGTGTGTGCGTGCCCTGTGTGTGTGTGTCCTGTGTGTGTGTGTGTGTTCTGTGTGTGTGTGCGTGCCCTGTGTGTGTGTGTGCCCTGTGTGTGTGTGTTCTGTGTGTGTGCGTGCCCTGTGTGTGTGTGCGTGCCCTGTGTGTGTGTCTGCCCTGTGTGTGTGTGCCCTGTGTGTGTCTACCCTGTGTGTGTGTGTCCTGTGTGTGTGTGCGTGCCCTGTGTGTGTGTGCCCTGTGTGTGTGCCCTGTGTGTGTGTGCCCTGTGTGTGTGTGCCCTGTGTGTGTGTGCCCTGTGTGTGTGCCCTGTGTGTGTGTGTGCCCTGTGTGTGTGTGCCCTGTGTGTGTGCCCTGTGTGTGTGTGCCCTGTGTGTGTGTGCCCTGTGTGTGTGTGTGCCCTGTGTGTGTGCCCTGTGTGTGTGCCCTGTGTGTGTGCCCTGTGTGTGTGTGTGCCCTGTGTGTGTGCCCTGTGTGTGTGCCCTGTGTGTGTGTGCCCTGTGTGTGTGTCTACCCTGTGTGTGTGTGTCCTGTGTGTGTGTGTGCCCTGTGTGTGTGTGTGCCCTGTGTGTGTGCCCTGTGTGTGTGCCCTGTGTGTGTGCCCTGTGTGTGTGCCCTGTGTGTGTGTGTGCCCTGTGTGTGTGTGCCCTGTGTGTGTGTGTGTGTGCCCTGTGTGTGTGCCCTGTGTGTGCGTGTGCCCTGTGTGTGTGTGCCCTGTGTGTGTGTGTGTGTGTGCCCTGTGTGTGTGCCCTGTGTGTGCGTGTGCCCTGTGTGTGTGTGCCCTGTGTGTGTGTGTGTGCCCTGTGTGTGTGCCCTGTGTGTGTGTGCCCTGTGTGTGTGCCCTGTGTGTGTGCCCTGTGTGTGTGTGTGCCCTGTGTGTGTGCCCTGTGTGTGTGTGTGCCCTGTGTGTGTGTGCCCTGTGTGTGTGTGTGTGCCCTGTGTGTGTGCCCTGTGTGTGTGTGCCCTGTGTGTGTGCCCTGTGTGTGTGCCCTGTGTGTGTGTGTGCCCTGTGTGTGTGCCCTGTGTGTGTGTGCCCTGTGTGTGTGTGTGCCCTGTGTGTGTGTGTGTGCCCTGTGTGTGTGCCCTGTGTGTGTGTGTGTGCTCTGTGTGTGTGTGTGCGTACCCTGTGTGTGTGCCCTGTGTGTGTGTGTGCCCTGTGTGTGTGTGCCCTGTGTGTGTGTGTGTGCCCTGTGTGTGTGCCCTGTGTGTGTGTGCCCTGTGTGTGTGCCCTGTGTGTGTGCCCTGTGTGTGTGTGTGCCCTGTGTGTGTGCCCTGTGTGTGTGTGCCCTGTGTGTGTGTGTGCCCTGTGTGTGTGTGTGTGCCCTGTGTGTGTGTGCCTACCCAGGGCGCACGCGAGTGCGTGCAGCGCCGGCGCGGCACTCCTCGCCAGCCTCGCCGGGTGCCGGTCCACCAGGGACAGCAGCTCCTGTGCGGAGCCTGCGGCCTGCAGCACCGCGTCAGGACCCTCCCCGTAGCGCAGCACCGCGGCAAGCACCAGCTGTGGTGGGGGGGGGGGGCAGGGGGGGGGGCAGGGGGGGGGGCAGGGGGGGTGCCGTTAAAGTCGCCGCGGTCCCCGGCTCTCGCCGCTGGTGTCGGCCATGGGCCCGGGAATCAGGGCGCCACGGTGGCTATGAGATGCTAACTACCTCGCCTGGTGTGCAGGAGGTCGTGGGTTCGCTCCCGACCCTGACGCCTGCTGCTGCTGTATATTTGGAGTTTGTGTGTCTCTCTCTCCCCGTGGTAGCGTGGATTTTTCTCGGTGCCCCTCCGGTTTTTCCCTCCACATTTAGAATCAATGTCACCACGCGTTTAGAGTGTTTGGCCACCGCTATACATGTCCGCGTGATGATCATGACGACGATGATGAAGCCACTTTCGTTGAGCTCTCATTTGCGACAGGCAGGTCGCTTATGAAAGAGAGCTACACAGCTCAGCAGTGCCTTACCTGGGAGAATAAAAACTTTTTTAGATTGTGAAATTGTTGTCGTTGGCTCTGCATTTCACCCTTCTCCCACCCAAACAGCATCGAGATGAAAACGAGTTTGTTGATTGTGACAGAGGCAAGGTTTGTATGGTGAACTGCTTTCGAACCGTACGTAGCCGACCGTGCTAATCGGAGACTTTGAGGTGGTGAGATAGCCGAGTTTCATTTTTCGTATACAAGACAAAGTTCCCCCGTATGGCCTTGACGGACCTTTTGGGGGGGGGCAAGTCCTGCTAACACGCACACACACACACGCACACACACACACACACGCACACACGCACACACGCACACACACACTCACACACACACTCACACACACGCACACACGCACACACTCACACGCACACACACACGCACACACGCACAAACACACAACAACAACAGCCGCCATTCGCCACTAAGTGGTGGTGACGTCACCACGACGCTTGTGCCAGGCTATGTGCACCCTGAGGCCACGTGAAGTGTCGAACGCCCACTGGCAGGAGGTCACGGGGCAGACCCAGGTGCCACGGGTCGACTGACTGAGATGACTGAGACGACTGGCTGATGCACCACCTGTGCCCCCTACTGTGCCAACCTGCTGTGCTTTAGCCACCCGGCACTCCGCTCGTTGTTCTGAGCGTCGCTCCTCCGTCCTCCGTTGTTGTTGGAGGGCGACTGCCTCCAACTGCCCAGTAGCATCCTTCACGAGCCTCCTCCACAGAGGCCGATCTTGACACCGCTGGTACTAGTCATCGGCAAGTCCACTCAGCTCCACGTCCTCCTGTACCACATCACTCCATCTCTTCTCTAGCCCGTGCCGCGCCCGCTTAGCCCCCCTCAATCCGGCCAAACAAAAGCTGTTTCGGCATGCGGTGGCTGGGCATGCGGGCTACATGACCCAGCCATCGCAGCCTTGCCTGCCGGAGGAGCTCACCGATGGGACCCTGCCCAGATCTTTCAAGGATTTGTGAGCTCCTCACACAATCCAATCTGGTTAAACCCAGGATGGATCGTAGGCAGGCCAGCCTAAATGTTTCTAACCGGCGAAGATGTTCCATTAGGGGGGTCCACGTTTCGCAAGCGTAGAGAAGGGAGGGAATGACCGTGGCCGAGAAGACCTGAAGCTTAGTGCGGAGCGACAGACCAGGTAGCTTCCACACAGCGTTACGCAACCGATGAAAAGATATTGCCGCTCGACTGATTCGGAGTGAGACCTCTGCTGTTAAACTGGAGCCAGTCATACACACACTCACACACACACACGCACACACACACACACACGCACACACGCACACACTCGCACACACGCACACACGCACACACGCACGCACACACGCACACACGCACACACACACACGCACGCACTCACACGCACTCACCGGCGCGCTCTCGCTCTCCCCCAGGTGGCGCAGGGCGATGGTGACGGCGCTCGCCACGTAGTCCGAGTTGTGAGACACGAGGAGGCCGGGCCGTGCGTAGCCACAGGCGCCCGCCACGTGGCGCGTCACGTGGCGGGCCGTGCGGCACACGGGCTGGGTGTCTAAGCCGTCACCTGCGCGCACAAAAACAAAGAGTCCCCCCGCCCGTGTAGCCTTCCGCGGACTCCGGGGGCGAGTGCCGTTCGCGAGCAGCACCTCCGAGGGGCGGGGCGGCACCACGCCCGGCCGGATTTGTCTCCCAGAGTGGCGGCGTTTACTACGCACCGCTGATTACAATCACCATGACTACGCTGCTGATGATGATGATAATAATGATGATGTCACCGATGACGATGTCGATGATGTCACCGATGATGTCCCCGATGATGATGATGTCGACGAATCCTTTCCTCCACGCTCCTGGCCCCCTGCGGCACTGGAACAAACTGCCCCCCGCCGGCACGTCCACCGCACGCACGTCTTTCACTCTCCAGCCTCCCCCTCACACCACCACCCCCCCCCCGCCCCCCGTCGCCAACTCCATGGACCCCTCTCTTCCCAACGTCGCCACCCAACGTCGCCCGCCGCGCCCCGAGTCGTCGCTCCTTGCACGCGGCACCGCAGTCACCGCCACCCGCTAACCGCAACCCGCTAACCACCACCCGCTAACCGTCCACCCGCTAACCGCCCACCCGCTAACCGTCCACCCGCTAACCGTCCACCCGCTAACCGCCACCCGCTGACCGCAACGCGTCAATCGGCACCGGTACCCCGGCCCGTCCTCGCGGCGGCGGCGGCGGCGGATTGCGAAGAGCCGTCGGAGAAAGACGTGCCGCTGTTGCGGCGCGCGTCACTTCCGGATGCGCCACCTCTGCGGCCGTCTGGAACGCTCTCCCTTCCCGATATGAGGAAGCCACGGGGAGCTTTGGCACTTTTAAATCATCATCATCATTATCATCCAGATTGACGCACACTGATTGATGTAGAACTGCTTTGTCGTGTGATTAGTTTGTTGTCCTTCCCCCGCGCACGGTTGGCTACGCACGTACATAGACTCACACAGAGACCCACAGACTCACACAGAGACCCATAGACTCACACAGAGACCCGTAGACTCACAGAGACCCGTAGACTCACACAGAGACCCACAGACTCACACACAGAGACCCATAGACTCACACAGAGATCCACAGACTCACACAGAGACCCACAGACTCACACAGAGACCCACAGACTCACACAGAGACCCACAGACTCACACAGAGATCCACAGACTCACACAGAGACCCACAGACTCACACAGAGACCCAAAGACTCACACAGAGACCCATAGACTCACACAGAGACCCACAGACTCACACAGAGACCCACAGACTCACACAGAGACCCGTAGACTCACATAGAGACCCAAAGACTCACACAGAGACCCGTAGACTCACACAGAGACCCGTAGACTCACACAGAGACCCGTAGACTCACATAGAGACCCAAAGACTCACACAGAGACCCGTAGACTCACACAGAGACCCGTAGACTCACAGAGACCTGTAGACTCACACAGAGACCCGTAGACTCACACAGAGACCCACAAACTCACACAGAGATCCACAGACTCACACAGAGACCCACAGACTCACACAGAGACCCACAGACTCACACAGAGACCCGTAGACTCACATAGAGACCCATAGACTCACAAAGAGATCCACAGACTCACACAGAGACCTATAGACTCACACAGAGACCCATAGACTCACACAGAGACCTATAGACTCACACAGAGACCTATAGACTCACACAGAGACCCATAGACTCACACAGAGACCTATAGACTCACACAGAGACATATAGACTCACACAGAGATCCACAGACTCACACAGAGACCTATAGACTCACACAGAGACCCATAAGACTCACACAGAGACCTATAGACTCACACAGAGACCCATAGACTCACACAGAGACCTATAGACTCACACAGAGACCCATAGACTCACACAGAGACGTATAGACTCACACAGAGACCTATAGACTCACAAAGAGACCCATAGACTCACACAGGGACCCATAGACTCACACAGAGACCCATAGACTCACACAGAGACCCATAGACTCACACAGAGACCTATAGACTCACACAGAGACCCACAGACTCACACAGAGACCCACAGACTCACACAGAGACCCACAGACTCACACAGTGACCCATAGACTTACAAAAAGACCCATACACTCACACAGAGACCCGTAGACTCACACAGAGACCCATAGACTCACACAGAGACCCGTAGACTCACACAGAGACCCATAGACTCACACAGAGACCCACATACTCACGCAGAGATCCATAGACTCGCGCAGAGATCCATAGACTCACACAGAGATCCATAGACTCGCGCAGAGATCCATAGACGTGCAGAGATCCATAGACTCATACAAAGACACAGACTGATACAGAGACACAGACTCACAGAGACACACAGACTCACACAAAGACACAGATTCACACAGAGATGGTCTCACACAGAGACCCATAGACTCACACAGAGACCCAGAGACTCACACCGAGACCCAGACTCACACAGAGACCCACAGACTCACACAAAGAACCAGACTCACAGAGACCCACAGACCCACGAAGAGACCCACAGACTCACGCAGAGACTCACAGACTCACACAGAGACCCACAGACTCACAAAGAGACCCACAGACTCAAACATAGACCCACAGACTCACACAGAGACCCATAGACTCACACAGGGACCCAGAGGCTCGCACAGAGACCCACAGACTCACGCAGAGACCCACAGACTCACACAGAGACCCACAGACCCACACAGAGACCCACAGACTCACACAGAGACCCACAGACTCACACAGAGACCCACAGACTCACGCAGAGACCCACAGACTCACACAGAGACCCACAGACTCACACACAGAGACCCACAGACTCACACACAGAGACCCACAGACTCACACACAGAGACCCACAGACTCACACACATAGACCCACAGACTCACACACAGAGACCCACAGACTCACACACAGAGACCCACAGACTCACACAGAGACCCACAGACTCACACAGAGACCCACAGACTCACACAGAGACCCACAGACTCACACACAGAGACCCACAGACTCACACACAGAGATCCACAGACTCACACACAGAGACCCACAGACTCACACAGAGACCCACAGACTCACACAGAGACCCACAGACTCACACAGAGACCCACAGACTCACACAGAGACCCACAGACTCACACCGAGACACACAGACTCACACCGAGACCCACAGACTCACACACAGAGACCCACAGACTCACACAAAGACCCACAGACTCACACAGAGACCCACAGACTCACACACAGAGACCCACAGACTCACACAGAGACCCACAGACTCACACAGAGACCCACAGGCTCACACAGACCCGTAGACTCAAACAGAGACCCACAGAATCACACAGAGAGACCCACAGACTCACACAGAGACCCGTAGACTCACACAGAGACCCACAGACTCACACAGAGACCCGTAGACTCACACAGAGACCCGTAGACTCACACAGAGACCCATAGACTCACACAGAGACCCACAGACTCACAGAGACCCGTAGACTCACACAGAGACCCGTAGACTCACACAGAGACCCATAGACTCACACAGAGACCCAGAGACTCACACAGAGACCCATAGACTCACGCAGAGACCCACAGACTCACACAGATACACATAGACTCACACAGAGATCCACAGACTCACACAGAGACCCACAGACTCACACAGAGACCTATAGACTCACACAGAGACCCATAGACTCACACAGAGACCCGTAGACTCACATAGAGACCCAAAGACTCACACAGAGACCCGTAGACTCACACAGAGACCCGTAGACTCACAGAGACCTGTAGACTCACACAGAGACCCGTAGACTCACACAGAGACCCACAAACTCACACAGAGATCCACAGACTCACACAGAGACCCACAGACTCACACAGAGACCCACAGACTCACACAGAGACCCGTAGACTCACATAGAGACCCATAGACTCACAAAGAGATCCACAGACTCACACAGAGACCTATAGACTCACACAGAGACCCATAGACTCACACAGAGACCTATAGACTCACACAGAGACCTATAGACTCACACAGAGATCCACAGACTCACACAGAGACCTATAGACTCACACAGAGACCCATAAGACTCACACAGAGACCTATAGACTCACACAGAAACCCATAGACTCACACAGAGACCTATAGACTCACACAGAGACCCATAGACTCACACAGAGACGTATAGACTCACACAGAGACCTATAGACTCACAAAGAGACCCATAGACTCACACAGGGACCCATAGACTCACACAGAGACCCATAGACTCACACAGAGACCCATAGACTCACACAGAGACCTATAGACTCACACAGAGACCCACAGACTCACACAGAGACCCACAGACTCACACAGAGACCCACAGACTCACACAGTGACCCATAGACTTACAAAAAGACCCATACACTCACACAGAGACCCGTAGACTCACACAGAGACCCATAGACTCACACAGAGACCCGTAGACTCACACAGAGACCCATAGACTCACACAGAGACCCACATACTCACGCAGAGATCCATAGACTCGCGCAGAGATCCATAGACTCACACAGAGATCCATAGACTCGCGCAGAGATCCATAGACGTGCAGAGATCCATAGACTCATACAAAGACACAGACTGATACAGAGACACAGACTCACAGAGACACACAGACTCACACAAAGACACAGATTCACACAGAGATGGTCTCACACAGAGACCCATAGACTCACACAGAGACCCAGAGACTCACACCGAGACCCAGACTCACACAGAGACCCACAGACTCACACAAAGAACCAGACTCACAGAGACCCACAGACCCACGAAGAGACCCACAGACTCACGCAGAGACTCACAGACTCACACAGAGACCCACAGACTCACAAAGAGACCCACAGACTCAAACATAGACCCACAGACTCACACAGAGACCCATAGACTCACACAGGGACCCAGAGGCTCGCACAGAGACCCACAGACTCACGCAGAGACCCACAGACTCACACAGAGACCCACAGACCCACACAGAGACCCACAGACTCACACAGAGACCCACAGACTCACACAGAGACCCACAGACTCACGCAGAGCGCCACAGACTCACACAGAGACCCACAGACTCACACACAGAGACCCACAGACTCACACACAGAGACCCACAGACTCACACACAGAGACCCACAGACTCGCACACATAGACCCACAGACTCACACACAGAGACCCACAGACTCACACACAGAGACCCACAGACTCACACAGAGACCCACAGACTCACACACAGAGACCCACAGACTCACACAGAGACCCACAGACTCACACAGAGACCCACAGACTCACACACAGAGACCCACAGACTCACACACAGAGATCCACAGACTCACACACAGAGACCCACAGACTCACACAGAGACCCACAGACTCACACAGAGACCCACAGACTCACACAGAGACCCACAGACTCACACAGAGACCCACAGACTCACACCGAGACACACAGACTCACACCGAGACCCACAGACTCACACACAGAGACCCACAGACTCACACAAAGACCCACAGACTCACACAGAGACCCACAGACTCACACACAGAGACCCACAGACTCACACAGAGACCCACAGACTCACACAGAGACCCACAGGCTCACACAGACCCGTAGACTCAAACAGAGACCCACAGAATCACACAGAGAGACCCACAGACTCACACAGAGACCCGTAGACTCACACAGAGACCCACAGACTCACACAGAGACCCGTAGACTCACACAGAGACCCGTAGACTCACACAGAGACCCGTAGACTCACACAGAGACCCACAGACTCACAGAGACCCGTAGACTCACACAGAGACCCGTAGACTCACACAGAGACCCATAGACTCACACAGAGACCCATAGACTCACACAGAGACCTGTAGACCCACACAGAGGCCCACAGACTCACACCAAGACCCACAGACTCACACACAGACCCACAGACTCACACACAGAGACCCACAGACTCACACAGAGACCCACAGACTCACACAGAGACCCACAGACTCACACAGACCCACAGCCTCACACACAGAGGCCCAGAGACTCACACAGAGACCCATAGACTCACACAGAGACCCACAGACTCACACAGAGACCCACAGACTCACACGGAGGCCCACAGACTCACACAGAGCCACAGACTCACACAGAGACCCACAGACTCACACCGAGACCCACAGACTCACACCGAGACCCACAGACTCACACACAGAGACCCACAGACTCACACAGAGACCCACAGACTCACACAGAGACCCACAGACTCACACACAGAGACCCACAGACTCAAACAGAGACCCACAGACTCACACAGAGACCCACAGACTCACACAGAGACCCACAGACTCACACAGAGACCCACAGAGACCCACAGACTCACAGAGAGACCCACAGACTCACACAGAGACCCACAGACTCACACACAGAGACCCACAGACTCACACAGAGACCCATAGACTGACACAGAGACCCACAGACTCACACAGAGACCCACAGACTGACACAGAGACCCATAGACTGACACAGAGACCCACAGACTCACACAGAGACCCATAGGTTTGTTGACCTTCCCTCCGCAGTGCCGATGAGCACGGTTGGCTACGCGCGGCGCGAGAGAAGCTCACCGCGCACGCATGAACACCAAGAGTGATGGAGCAGACAAGATACCTCCCTCCTCACCTCCCACCTTCTCCAGCACGGGGTACAGTGCGACTGCCAGCATGGGCCTGAAGTTGTGGCCAAGGACACCGGAAAAACCCGCAATGCCCTCGAGCTGCACGCACAGCTGCCACACGTTGCCGTTGAACGCCTCCACCGTGCATTCTGCGCAAAGAAACGAAGACAAAGATTTTGATTTAAAGCTTTGGTGACTGCAGGGATTCACATTCTTGGTTCTTTCGGTAAAGTCACCACGTAGAAGGGAAACAATAAAATAATAAAAATATAAAAACAATAAAATTCTCACGACGTTTCGACTGCAACACAAGAAGCAATCATCATCGGGTGAGAAAATTTTCTTGCTGTGGTTTTCACACCTGATGATGACAGCTTTGTGTCGGGCGCCTGGCCCGACACAAAGCTGCCGGGCCAAGCGCCGTTGCGGAGCACCAAGAAAGATCAGCATGGCCCGCAAAGCGTCTCTGAGTGAGTGTGGGTGGAGTGTCTCTGAGTGAGTGTGGGTGGAGCGTCTCTGAGTGTGGGTGGAGCGTCTCTGAGTGAGTGTGGGTGGAGTGTCTCTGAGTGAGTGTGGGTGGAGCATCTCTGAGTGTGGGTGGAGCGTCTCAGAGTGAGTGTGGGTGGAGTGTCTCTGAGTGAGTGTGAGTGGAGCGTCTCTGAGTGAGTGTGGGTGGAGTGTCTCTGCGTGAGTGTGGGTGGAGCGTCTCTGAGTGTGGGTGGAGCGTCTCTGAGTGAGTGTGGGTGGAGTGTCTCTGAGTGAGTGTGGGTGGAGCGTCTCTGAGTGTGGGTGGAGCGTCTCTGAGTGAGTGTGGGTGGAGTGTCTCTGAGTGAGTGTGAGTGGAGCGTCTCTGAGTGAGTGTGGGTGGAGTGTCTCTGAGTGAGTGTGGGTGGAGCGTCTCTGAGTGAGTGTGGGTGGAGTGTCTCTGAGTGAGTGTGGGTGGAGCATCTCTGAGTGAGTGTGGGTGGAGTGTCTCTGAGTGAGTGTGGGTGGAGCGTCTCTGAGTGAGTGTGGGTGGAACGTCTCTGTGTGAATGTGGGTGGAGCGTCTCTGTGTGAGTGGAGCGTCTCTGAGTGAGTGTGGGTGGAGTGTCTCTGAGTGAGTGTGGGTGGAGTGTCTCTGAGTGAGTGTGGGTGGAGCGTCTCTGTGTGAGTGAGTGTGGGTGGAGCGTCTCTGTGTGAGTGAGTGTGGGTGGAGCGTCTCTGAGTGAGTGTGGGTGGAGCGTCTCTGAGTGAGTGTGGGTGGAGCGTCTCTGAGTGTGGGTGGAGCGTCTCTGAGTGAGTGTGGGTGGAGCATCTCTGAGCAAGTGTGGGTGGAGCGTCTCTGTGTGAGTGTGGGTGGAGCATCTCTGAGCGAGTGTTGGTGGAGCGTCTCTGAGTGAGTGTGGGTGGAGCGTCTCTGAGTGAGTGTGGGTGGAGCGTCTCTGAGTGTGGGTGGAGCGTCTCTGTGTGAGTGAGTGTGGGTAGAGCACCTCTGAGCGAGTGTGGGTGGAGCGTCTCTGAGTGAGTGTGGGTGGAGTGTCTCTGAGTGAGTGTGGGTGGAGCGTCTCTGAGTGAGTGTGGGTGGAGCACCTCTGAGCGAGTGTGGGTGGAGCGTCTCTGAGTGAGTGTGGGTGGAGCGTCTCTGAGTGAGTGTGGGTGGAGCGTCTCTGAGTGAGTGTGGGTGGAGCGTCTCTGAGTGTGGGTAGAGCGTCTTTGAGTGTGGGTGGAGCGTCTCTGTGTGAATGAGTGTGGGTGGAGCGTCTCTGAGTGAGTGTGGGTGGAGCGTCTCTGTGTGAGTGTGGGTGGAGCGTCTCTGTGTGAGCGAGTGTGGGTGGAGTGCCTCTGAGCGAGTGTGGGTGAAGCGTCTCTGAGTGAGTGTGGGTGGAGCATCTCTGAGTGAGTGTGGGTGGAGCGTCTCTGAGTGAGTGTGGGTGGAGCGTCTCTGAGTGAGTGTGGGTGGAGTGTCTCTGAGTGAGTGTGGGTGGAGCGTCTCTGAGTGAGTGTGGGTGGAGCGTTTCTGAGTGAGTGTGGGTGGAGCGTTTCTGAGTGAGTGTGGGTGGAGCATCTCTGAGTGAGTGTGGGTGGAGCGTCTCTGAGTGAGTGTGGGTGGAGCGTCTCTGAGTGAGTGTGGGTGGAGTGTCTCTGAGTGAGTGTGGGTGGAGCGTCTCTGAGTGAGTGTGGGTGGAGCGTTTCTGAGTGAGTGTGGGTGGAGCGTCTCTGAGTGAGTGTGGGTGGAGCGTCTCTGAGTGAGTGTGGGTGGAGCGTCTCTGTGTGAGCGAGTGTGGGTGGAGTGTCTCTGTGTGAGCGAGTGTGGGTGGAGTGTCTCTGTGTGAGCGAGTGTGGGTGGAGCGTCGCCGTGTGAGCGAGTGTGGGTGGAGCGTCTCTCGCTCACCGCTCTCCACCGGCGGGGCGAGTGGCACGACGAGTGACGTAGCTCCGGTGCCGGCGTCTCCCGGCACAGCGGAGCTGCCCAGCCGCGCGGTTGGCAAGCGCCAGTTCGCTGGCGAGATGTACTCCTCCACCACGGCTCGCGCCAGCCAGAACAGCTCCTCCTGGCTGTACCGCGACCGCCAATCGCCTGCGCCGTGTGGCAAAGAACGAGGATCCTGAGTTGGGGTCCTGGGCACGCGTGTGGACATGCCCCCCCCCCACGGGGTGATGCACTGCTCGCTGCGACAGCCCCGAATGGAGACCGGCGATAGCCGCGCGCGACGGGTCCCGGGAGAAAGCCAAGTCAACGGTCACGGAGTTGAGTTCCTTCCCGTCTCGAGCCCTGGGGCCAGTGGTGGTACAGGGACTCCTCTACTTATGAACAAGTAAGGTCTGTTCGTAAGTCGATTTACTCCTTCAGGTTCCAAACACGTTGTTTGGCGTGTACACTAAACACAGGGGAGTGGCTTTTATAAGTGGCACAATCTCCTGTAGATGTAGATGCCACTGGTTCTTCACGTTCTGTAGATGTAGATGCCACTGGTTCTTCACGTTCTGCAGATGTAGATGCTACTGGTTCTTCACGTTCTGCAGATGTAGATGCCACTGGTTCTTCACGTTCTGCAGATGTAGATGCCACTGGTTCTTCACGTTCTGCAGATGTAGATGCCACTGGTTCTTCACGTTCTGCAGATGTAGATGGCACTGGTTCTTCACGTTCTGCAGATGTAGATGCCACTGGTTCTTCACGGTCTGCAGATGTAGATGCCACTGGTTCTTCATGTTCTGCAGATGTAGATGCAACTGGTTCTTCACGTTCTGCTGATGTAGATGGCACTGGTTATTCACGTTCTGCAGTTGTAGATGGCACTGGTTATTCACGTTCTGCAGATGTAGATGCCACTGGTTCTTCACGTTCTGCAAGAGTAGATGCCCCTGGTTCTTCACGTTCTGCAGATGTAGATGCCACTGGTTCTTCACGTTCTGCAGATGTGGATGCCACTGGTTCTTCACGTTCTACAGATGTAGATGCCACTGGTTCTTCACTCTCTACAGATGTAGCTGCCACTGGTTCTTCACGTTCTGCAGATGTAGATGCCACTGGTTCTTCACTCTCTACAGATGTAGATGCCACTGGTTCTTCACTCTCTACAGATGTAGATGCCACTGGTTCTTCACTCTCTACAGATGTAGATGCCACTGGTTCTTCACGTTCTGCAGATGTAGATGCCACTGGTTCTTCACGTTCTGCAGATGTAGATGCCACTGGTTCTTCACGTTCTGCAGATGTAGATGGCACTGGTTATTCACGTTCTGCAGTTGTAGATGGCACTGGTTCTTCACGTTCTGCAGATGTAGATGCCACTGGTTCTTCACGGTCTGCAGATGTAGATGCCACTGGTTCTTCATGTTCTGCAGATGTAGATGCAACTGGTTCTTCACGTTCTGCTGATGTAGATGGCACTGGTTATTCACGTTCTGCAGTTGTAGATGGCACTGGTTATTCACGTTCTGCAGATGTAGATGCCACTGGTTCTTCACGTTCTGCAAGAGTAGATGCCCCTGGTTCTTCACGTTCTGCAGATGTAGATGCCACTGGTTCTTCACGTTCTGCAGATGTGGATGCCACTGGTTCTTCACGTTCTACAGATGTAGATGCCACTGGTTCTTCACTCTCTACAGATGTAGCTGCCACTGGTTCTTCACGTTCTGCAGATGTAGATGCCACTGGTTCTTCACTCTCTACAGATGTAGATGCCACTGGTTCTTCACTCTCTACAGATGTAGATGCCACTGGTTCTTCACTCTCTACAGATGTATATGACACTGGTTCTTCACGTTCTGCAGATGTAGATGCCACTGGTTCTTCACGTTCTGCAGATGTAGATGCCACTGGTTCTTCATGTTCTGCAGATGTAGATGCAACTGGTTCTTCACGTTCTGCAGATGTAGATGGCACTGGTTATTCACGTTCTGCAGTTGTAGATGGCACTGGTTATTCACGTTCTGCAGATGTAGATGCCACTGGTTCTTCACGTTCTGCAAGAGTAGATGCCCCTGGTTCTTCACGTTCTGCAGATGTAGATGCCACTGGTTCTTCACGTTCTGCAGATGTGGATGCCACTGGTTCTTCACGTTCTACAGATGTAGATGCCACTGGTTCTTCACTCTCTACAGATGTAGATGCCACTGGTTCTTCACGTTCTGCAGATGTAGATGCCACTGGTTCTTCACTCTCTACAGATGTAGATGCCACTGGTTCTTCACTCTCTACAGATGTAGATGCCACTGGTTCTTCACTCTCTACAGATGTAGATGACACTGGTTCTTCACGTTCTGCAGATGTGGATGCCACTGGTTCTTCACGTTCTACAGATGTAGATGCCACTGGTTCTTCACTCTCTACAGATGTAGATGCCACTGGTTCTTCACGTTCTGCAGATGTAGATGCCACTGGTTCTTCACTCTCTACAGATGTAGATGCCACTGGTTCTTCACTCTCTACAGATGTAGATGCCACTGGTTCTTCACTCTCTACAGATGTAGATGACACTGGTTCTTCACTCTCTACAGATGTATATGACACTGGTTCTTCACGTTCTGCAGATGTAGATGCCACTGGTTCTTCACGTTCTGCAGATGTAGATGCCACTGGTTCTTCATGTTCTGCAGATGTAGATGCAACTGGTTCTTCACGTTCTGCAGATGTAGATGGCACTGGTTATTTACGTTCTGCAGTTGTAGATGGCACTGGTTATTCACGTTCTGCAGATGTAGATGCCACTGGTTCTTCACGTTCTGCAAGAGTAGATGCCCCTGGTTCTTCACGTTCTGCAGATGTAGATGCCACTGGTTCTTCACGTTCTGCAGATGTGGATGCCACTGGTTCTTCACGTTCTACAGATGTAGATGCCACTGGTTCTTCACTCTCTACAGATGTAGATGCCACTGGTTCTTCACGTTCTGCAGATGTAGATGCCACTGGTTCTTCACTCTCTACAGATGTAGATGCCACTGGTTCTTCACTCTCTACAGATGTAGATGCCACTGGTTCTTCACTCTCTACAGATGTAGATGACACTGGTTCTTCACGTTCTGCAGATGTGGATGCCACTGGTTCTTCACGTTCTACAGATGTAGATGCCACTGGTTCTTCACTCTCTACAGATGTAGATGCCACTGGTTCTTCACGTTCTGCAGACGTAGATGCCACTGGTTCTTCACTCTCTACAGATGTAGATGCCACTGGTTCTTCACTCTCTACAGATGTAGATGCCACTGGTTCTTCACTCTCTACAGATGTAGATGACACTGGTTCTTCACGTTCTGCAGATGTAGATGCTACTGGTTCTTCACGGTCTGCAGATGTAGATGCCACTGGTTCTTCACGTTCTGCAGATGTAGATGCCACTGGTTCTTCACTCTCTACAGATGTAGATGCCACTGGTTCTTCACTCTCTACAGATGTAGATGCCACTGGTTCTTCACTCTCTACAGATGTAGATGACACTGGTTCTTCACGTTCTGCAGATGTAGATGCCACTGGTTCTTCACTCTCTGCAGATGTAGATGCCACAACCGTCATCTATTGTGCGACGGTTGAACTTACGACTCTCGGTCCGAACGGGCAACTGGACATACGGACGGGTTTGTTCGTATCTCTGAAAGTTTGTAAGTCGAACGTTCTGAAGTAGAGGAGTCCCCGACCCAGAGAGATGAAGGGCCGCTGCCAACCCCCGATCGGGATTTAAACCCACGGAGCTAAACCTGGACTTCGACCGTGCTGTCGGTCGCTAGACGCTGCTGCTTTTGGGGGCCTTTGCTGCTTGTGCTCAGCAACCGTGACGTTTAAACAACAGCAACAACAATACTAATAATAATACAAAAACGCAAAAAATTCTCACCGGGAGCCTCTTCCGATGGGGCGGTCGGCAGGGACCGAGCGCTGGAATACGCCCAGGGGTCCAACCCACGCCCGGCGGCTCCCACGATCACTTCGTTGAGAATCATGGCAGCCGGGGCCCTGGAGGGGAGAGAGACAACGCTGCCCACACGGTCCAGAGAACAACCCTCGGCCTCAAGACGCACCGTGAGTGCCGCCGTTACGACGTGGAACGCGCACCGCCATAACGAACGGGCGCCGTTACGACGACGTGGATCGCGCGCGCCCCGTTATAACTCGGGCACCTCAACGCCCATGGGAAGGGAGTTTCGAAACATTCGTGCCATGATCCACTAACCCTCGCTGCTCAGCTATAATAATCAGACAGTACGTCCCGTTTGACACACGGGCTTGTGGGAGTGCAACGTTAACTGCAGCATCGGTTCAAAACAAGCAACACTCTGGGCTGGTTTCGACATACAGCGTCTCATCGGCACCGTCAGGCTCACTTGAAGTCAGAATTTGTATTTATACCGGAGGAGGAGTCCAATGAGCCCTGAAGCTATTTTTTCACAGATGTCCAGCAGGGGCACGTGGTCAGTAAGCTACGACAACAAATAGCACAAAAAAGCACGATAGGGGTGCGAAGTATCGGAGAGGTGAACCAATCGCTTAAAAAATAAATTAACAGGAATAAAACGAATGCCGGTTAACTGCTCGATGCTCATAGGCAAGGGCTCTCTCCACAAGACTTTAGAAGTTGCTCTGTGGCATCCACTTCTGTGGGGCGGTGGGGGGAGGCAGTTACACTGCTCTGTGAGACATCCAAACGGTTTGTCTTCTGACGTGAGCCCGTGTTACCTTTGGCGGCTCAGCGTTCCGCACGCGGCAGTCCGTTGTGAACGTGGGACCCTCCGCTGTGGCCGGGACCCACCGTTGTAGCCGGGACTCACCGATAAAGCCTGGACACACCGCTGTGAACAGGAGGACTCACCGTTGTAGCCGGGACTCTCGGTACATCTCTAGGAACGTGTCGACGAGGAGGTAGAGGTCGCCGAAGAACCCGAGCGTGCGGCAAATCTGCTGCAGCGTGGCGTGCACTCTCTCGTCCGAGAAGCCGCTGAAGCGCTTCCTCCGCCCGCCGGGGATTGGCCAGTCCGAGGGGGCAGAGCCGGCGTGCGGCCAATGGGCTTGCCCGCCTGCGGCGCCGCCCCCTCTCGCCGCAAAATGGCCGCCGCCCCCTTGGTCCGCGTCCCCCGCCGGTGGCGTCTCCAGGCAGGCAATGGCGGCGGCTCCATCGTCGCCTCCTCCTCCTCCTCCTCGTCCTTCCTCCTCCTCCACTTCCCCCTCCTCCACGACGACCTGCTGGCTCGTGTCGGGCGCGAGGAGCCGCACGAGAGCCCGGGCGAGGCGGGAGAGGTGCGGCGCCGAGCGCAGCAGGGCCGAGACGCGCGGCCCCAGCAGGCGCAGGTAGCCCAGCAGGCGCGAGAGCGTGGCGAGCTTGCGGTCGTCGGCGGCGGACCGGGCGAGGCGAGGGAGCGAGGAGCAGAGGGAGAAGGCGCGCTCCAGCGCCGATTCCTCCACGGCCCGGTCGTCGCCGGGCGCCGTGCCGACGAGCGAGCGGCGGCGCCGGAGGACGGAGAAGCTGGCAGCTCGGACCTGGGGGGGGCGCCGCGTTGGGATTGGGGCGATGGGAGCGGCCGGGCGGAGCGGGCAAATAGATGGACGGACGGACAATAAACGGATGGACAAACACAAATACAGAACAGATAGAGGGATGGATGGATGGATGGATTTTTTTAATCTCCAAAAGTCGTTTTCTACGATCTCATGCCCTGAGATGAAATAATTCGCAATGCTGCAGCTAGTAGTAGTGCACTGCACTCAATAATATGGCCCCTGAAAAATGATCAAAACTACGTCGTTGCAATATATGTTAATAATTCACGTTAACATTGAAAACTCATTTCTTTAGAACCGCTTTGTGTTTTAGTTTGTTGTCCTTCCCCCACCGCGGGAACCTCCGATTAGCGCGGTTGGCATCCATCATCATCCATCATCATCCATCATCCTCCGTCAACATCCTCCATCATCATCATCATCCAACAACATCATCATCATCATCCAACAACATCATCATCCTCCATCAACATCATCATCCTCCATCAACATCATCATCCTCCATCAACATCATCATCCAACATCATCATCATCATCCTCCATCAACATCATCCTCCATCAACATCATCCTCCATCATCATCCTCCATCAACATCATCATCCAACAACATCATCATCCTCCATCAACATCATCATACTCCATCAACATCATCCTCTATCAACATCATCATCCAACATCATCATCATCCTCCATCAACATCATCCTCCATCAACATCATCATCCTCCATCATCATCCTCTATCAACATCATCATCATCCTCCATCAACATCATCCTCCATCAACATCATCATCCTCCATCATCATCCTCCATCAACATCATCATCCAACAACATCATCATCATCATCATCCCCCATCAACATCATCATCCTCCATCAACATCATCATCCTCCATCAACATCATCATCATCATCCAACAACACCATCATCATCATCATCACCATCGTCTCACCCTCTGGTCCTCGTCGCACGACAGCCCCACCACGACGTCCAACATCGTCGCCACGGCTTCGGCGCCCAGCACGCGGCGGCAGCGCCGCAGCACGCGCCCGGCCAGCGCCGCTGCCTCGACCCGCACGCGCCAGCTGCGGTGCCCCGCCGCCACGGGCCCCAGCCGCCGCAGCAGCGGCGCCAGCCTCTCGCCCGTCGCCCGGGCCCAGTCGGGGGTCCTCCGCACGAGCAGCGAGGGGGCCCCTCCCTCGTCGCCCCGCGCCGGGGCCGCCGCCGGGTCCGGGGCCGCCGCCGGGTCCGGTTCGCGGGGGTCGGGGGTCAGGACGTCGTCCGGCGCGGCGCGGGCGACGGCGTGGGCCAGGAGGCGCGTCGCCAACGCCGCGACGGCGCCGGGCTGCGTGGCGGCGCGGCCGCCGCACGTCGTGACGATGCGGCACAGCGCCGTGGCCGTGCCCGGCAGGAAGGAGGCGAGGGAGTCGAAGGCTTCGCGCGTCGCGATCGCGTTTCCATCCTCCTCGTCCTCATCCTCCTCTTCCTCCTCCTCCCCCACCTCGCCGCCGACCGCGAGCCGCGGCCGCGGCGGCCCGGCGGCGGCACGGCACGGCAGGAGCCAGAGGGCGGCGAGGCACTCGAGCGCCCGCAGCCTCAGCGCTCGCTCCCCCTCCCCCTCGGCCACCGCCAGCAGCGTGGCCACGGCGTGGCCCAGCCGCGGGAGCGTCGCCCCCGTCCGGCGCGGCCGGGCGCCGTGGAGGGCGGCCGCGGCGGCGGGCTCGGCGGGGCGGAGCAGCGCGGCGAGCGCCGTCAACGCCGCCAGCTTCACCTCCTCGGAGGGGGGGGAGCCGCCGCCGCCGCCGCCGTCGCCGTCGCACAGCGCGCACAGCTCCGTGAGGAGCTCGCCCAGCAGACGCCCGTCCGAGACGGGGGCCCGCGACAGGACGGCCGCGATGCACTCGGCCGCGGCCACGCGCAGGAGCTCCAGCGCCGCGTTCAGCGCCGCCGTCGGCAACGCCGACGGACCCCGGCCGTCGGCGCCGTCCCGGGCGCCGCGCTGGGCCGCGTCGGCTCGCCGGAGGGCGTGGCGCGGGGGGAAGAGCACGTAGTCCCGCAGGCGGAGCAGGTGCGGGTCGGGCACGGAGCGGAGCGCGCCGGCGAGGGCGCGCAGGGAGTCGCGCGACGGGGAGCGAGTCACGGCCACGCAGAGCGGGCGCAGCGCCGCGAACGACGGGCCCGGGGAGGAGGCGTCGGCGTCGGAGGAGGAGGTGGTGGAGGAGGAGGTAGTGGAAGAGGAGGAGGGATCGACAGCGTTGATGCCGCCCGCGGCAGTGAAGTCGCCCATTGCGCCAGGCGAGGCGAGCATCTGTCAACGCACGGGGGGGGTGGGGAGCGGGGGTTGTGTATTCGTCAGGCTCAGTTGCATGCTTGTTAAGGTGCGCGTGTCAGTGTAGTACGCGCGCGTGTGTGTGTGTACGCCGAATGGGGGAGCGGTGGTGCAGCGGTTAGCGCGCTGCGCTAAGAACCCCGCAACCCGGGCTCCCTGCCCGCTCACGCTCGACGGCGGTGACGATAATTATCTGAACCGACCCTAGGTCGACTCGGCCTCAAATGAGTAGACGGCGCGGTGTGTCATTGGGGAGACAAAGGCGGCCGGGCGTGGTGCTGGCCACCCACGGCCTCGTGTTTCGTTCCGGCCTTCATAGGTGCTCGCTAACAGCACTTGCCCCAGCAGTCTGTTTATGCTATGCAGGGGGATCTTTGTCTTTGTGTGTGCGCGCGCGTGTTTCATTTTCAAAGGAGAGCGCACCTAGCCTGGCGCAGGCAATGCGGTCACGTCATCTTTACTTAATGGCGACCCGCGTACGCACGTGTATGCACACGCGTGCACGTGTATATACACACACGCACGTGTATATACACACACGCACGTGTATATACACACACGCACGTGTATATACACACACGCACGTGTGTATACACACACGCACGTGTGTATACACACACACGTGTATACACACACACGTGTATACACACACGTGTATACACACACGTGTATACACGCCACGTATCTACCGTATACACACACGTGTATACACACGCACGTGTATACACACGTGTATATACACACCACGTTTCTACCGTATACACACACAGTACCTAATTGCAGATATACACAAGTGATGCCCCCGAATAGCCTCAAAACCATTTTTTGGGGCAGGTGCTGTTGGCGAATAGCACGGTTTTTTGGTCCACGTGCGGTGCGAAAGAAGGTCACCATACATACGGTGCATTAGAGCGGGCACGACACACGATGGGGTGCTTGGCCAGCGTCACGCCCGGCCGCCTTTGTCTTCCCAGGAGGGATATTTACTACACACCGAAGACAAAGATTGCCCGTGTAGCCTGAACAGACTGCAGGGGCAAGTGCTGTTAGCAAGCAGCGCCTATGAAGGCCGACACGCCACACGAGGGGGTGGGTGGCCAGCACCAGGCAGGGCCGCCTTTGTCTCTCCGAGTGGTGATGTTCAAACACTCGTTTTCAGGCCTAGTCGACCTAGGGGGGCGGCCCGGGACAACGGCTTACAACGCAACGCTACACCGAGACGCAGTTTGTCACTTACATTCGCCGCAAGTATTCCAACGTCAAAGCTTAACGGCGGTAGCTCACGCCAACGATTTTTTGTTTTTTTAAATTAAAAGATAAACGTTTCGTTACGCAGCCCGGCAGGCAACTCCAGCACGCACGCACGCGCGCGCGTGCGCGGTGGCCATTGGCGCCGCCTCTTTTGTGACGTCACGTCCAATCGGCTCACTCGATCGACGAATTTTTCTTTAAACGGCAACAAAAAATATTACTTTCAAAACAAACAAACAAACAGAAACCCCGTCAGGAAATTACGAAGCGCTTCGGCGAGATTCGTTATTTATTATTTCGTTGACATTTTTTTTATTTAATCGCGGTAACGAGAGAGGGAGAGAGGGGGGGGGAAACCGCTTCCGGTTGCAACAAAACGCGATCTGATTGGCCAATCTTGAAAGACTGTAGGGTTGGGGGGTAAGAATCAAGGTCCCCCGCCCCCTCAACTCACGTGACTTCGACACCGCCATCTTAGGTAGGGATATGTTAACATCGATATTCAAAGTTATTTCGGTAAAGTCACGTAGAAGGGAAAAATATCCAATAGTGGGCGGGGCGCGGTAGAGGGGGGGGGCGGTTCGAAAACGTCATCAGAACGCGACGTAACCCACGCCTCGCCCTCCAGGACAACGTCGAAACATAACCCACCCCTCCCCCCACCCCATACAAGTTTTGTTTTTATCGGGTGGTGGCGGGTTTAACGACACAACATTTATATACTTACGCGATCCAACACCCCCCCCCCCCCCCCCCATAGATGATAATGGATCGCGAAAGCCTGCTACGTGAACACTCCCTCCCCCTTACAAACATGGCGGCCAAACAAACACCCACTCTCTACGTCGCGTTCAAAGTGACGCGCAGGGGGGACGCGGCAGGCACCCCCCCCCTCCTCCTCCTCGAATGGCTCAACGTGAGGGTGGTGGAACCCTCGCACCGTGAGACGCCTGCCGAGTGCTCTCTGCAGCGTTTAGAGATCAAAGTGGTGGTGGTGGTGGTGGTTGTGGTGGGGCCAGGGGCCAGTGGGACGCGCAAGATGAACGTGGCCGAGTCGAGCGAAGACTTTGAGAGTCAAGGTGAAGGTGGTTGTGGTTGTTGTGGTGGTTGTGGGATTCATTGTTTGGGGCGCCATCCATGCTCGCAAGGCCCCGGAACCAGCAGCGGCTGCTGCCTCTCCGCCTCGTTGTCCAATGCTGCTCGCACGCTCGCGGCCACTTTGATTTGCAGACCCCCCCCCCCACGCGCGTTTTGCGCTAAAAAATAAAACTTCACGTCTCTGTGTCTCCGTGTGTCTCTCTCTGTCTCCGTGTCTCTGTCTCCGTGTCTCTGTCTCCATGTCTCTGTCTCCGTGTCTCTCTGTCTCCATGTCTCTCTGTCTCCGTGTCTCTCTGTCTCTCTCTGTCTCCGTGTCTCTCTGTCTCCGTGTCTCTCTGTCTCCGTGTCTCTGGCTCTCTCTGTCTCCGTGTCTCTCTGTCCCCGTGTCTCTGTCCCCGTGTCTCTGTCTCCATGTCTCTCTGACTCCGTGTCTCAGTGTCTCTCTGTCTCCGTGTCTCTCTGTCTCCGTGTCTCAGTGTCTCTCTGTCTCCGTGTCTCTGTCTCCGTGTCTCTCTGCCTCCGTGTCTCAGTGTCTGTCTGTCTCCGTGTCTCTGTCTCAGTGTCTCTCTGTCTCCGTGTCTCTCTGCCTCCGTGTCTCTCTGTCTTCGTGTCTCTGTGTCTGTCTGTCTCCGTGTCTCTGTGTGTCTCTGTCTCCGTGTCTCTCTGTCTCTGTGTCTCTCTGTCTCCGTGTCTCTGTCTCCGTGTCTCTTTCTCCGTGTCTCTTTCTCCGTGTCTCTCTGTCTCTCTGTCTCCGTGTCTCCGTGTCTCTCTGTCTCTCTGTCTCCGTGTCTCTCTGTCTCCGTGTCTCTCTGTCTCCGTGTCTCTCTGTCTCCGTGTCTCTGTGTCTCCGTGTCTCTGTGTCTCCGTGTCTCTGTGTCTCTGTGTCTCTGTGTCTCCGTGTCTCTGTGTCTCTCTCTTTCTCCGTGTCTCTCTGTCTCCGTGTCTCTCTGTCTCCGTGTCTCTGTCTCCGTGTCTCTCTGTCTCCGTGTCTCTCTGTCTCCGTGTCTCTCTGTTTCCGTGTCTCTGTCTCCGTGTCTCTGTGTCTCTCTCTTTCTCCGTGTCTCTCTGTCTCCGTGTCTCTCTGTTTCCGTGTCTCTCTGTTTCCGTGTCTCTCTGTCTCCGTGTCTCTGTGTCTCTCTGTCTCCGTGTCTCTCTGTCTCCGTGTCTCTGTGTCTCCGTGTCTCCGTGTCTCTGTGTCTCCGTGTCTCTGTGTCTCTCTGTCTCCGTGCCTCTGTCTCCGTGTCTCTGTCTCCGTGTCTCTGTGTCTCTCTGCCTCCGTGTCTCCGTGTCTCTGTGTCTCTCTGCCTCTGTGTCTCTCTGTCTCCGTGTCTCTGTGTCTCCGTGTCTCTCTGTCTCTGTGTCTCCGTGTCTCTCTGTCTCCGTGTATCCGTGTCTGCCTCCGTGTCTCCGTGTCTCAGTGTCTCTTTGTCTCAGTGTCTCTCTGTCTCAGTGTCTCTCTGTCTCCGTGTCTCAGTGTCTCCGTGTCTCAGTGTCTCCGTGTCTCTGTGTCTCCGTGTCTCTGTGTCTCCGTGTCTCTGTCTCCGTGTCTCTCTGTGTCTCTCTGTCTCCGTGTCTCCATGTCTCTGTCTCCGTGTCTCTCTGTCTCCCTGTCTCTCTGTCTCCGTGTCTCTCTGTCTCTGTCACCGTGTCTCCCTGTCTCTCTGTCTCCCTGTCTCTCTGTCTCCGTGTCTCCCTGTCTCTGTGTCTCCGTGTCTCTGTGTCTCTCTGTCTCCGTGTCTCCGTGTCTCTGTCTCCGTGTCTCTGTCACCGTGTCTCCGTGTCTCTCTGTCTCCGTGTCTCTGTCTCCGTGTCTCCGTGTCTCTCTGTCTCCGTGTCTCTCTGTCTCCGTGTCTCTCTGTCTCCGTGTCTCTCTGTGGGTGGAGGATTGGGGGGGGTGGAGGATTGGGGGGGGTGGAGGATGGGGGGGGTGGAGGATTGGGGGGGGTGGAGGATGGGGGGGGGTGGAGGATTGGGGGGGGGGTGGAGGATTGGGGGGGGGTGTGGAGGATTGGGGGGGGTGGAGGATTGGGGGGGGTGGAGGATTGGGGGGGGGTGGAGGATTGGGGGGGGGTGGACGATTGGGGGGGGTGGAGGATTGGGGGGGGGGGGTGTGGGGGATTGGGGGGGGTGTTTTAACGCTGCTGTTTTTATTACCAGAAAGGCTCAAGCTATATTATTGTGTTTTGCTCCTGGCAAGGGAGGTCCCGTCATGTAACTCTGTCCGGTTTAAAGTTTTGCCACTGCGCGCATGAATTTAAAACGCCTGCGATCGGAGCTTACGATCCGCCGTGCGATCTGAGAGAGCGGCATACTCCAGGGGTCACGTTGGGTGCAAAAGTGCCGAGAGGCGGCAACCCCCTTCAATCTGTTTTTATTCACGTTGCGCCAAAAACAACCGTCGGCAGTCCGCGCCCACCTTCGGTCGCCACCATCAAAATACACGAGGGCCGTGAGAAGACCAACGTGTGACCCACTTGATGCAGGCAGCGGTGGCACCGGTGGCTAGACACCTGTGGACCAGCCTGCACGTCGGTCAACACCTGGGTCCCGTCCCGTGACCGAGCACCTCGCCGGCGGGCGGTGCGGACAACTCCACGCGGCACCTGAAAGTGCCCCGAGCCTCGCGCGAGTGACGTCCCCCGCCGCTCGGGTGTCGAATGACGTTTTGTGTTTGTTTTGGCTGCTGCTGCTGCTGCCGCCGTCGATTCCAGAGGTGCCCAAGGACATGGTGGTGGTGGAGGTGGCCGGGAGCGACATCCATATCTGCGGCACGTGCCGGCATCAGTTTCACAGCCTGGAGGCGTTCATCACTCACAAGCAAGAGAACCAGTGTCCACTCCACACGGAGAGCAACATCTACATCAGTAAGTGTTGGGCGGCGGGGGACGGGGAGAGAGAGCGAGAGAGAGATGGAGAGAGAGGTGTGGGGATGGACGCGCCGCTCAAGATGCCCGCGACACGATTCCTCGCGTGGAGATTTCCTGATCCGACGCGAGAGATGTAACCCCCCCCTCCCCTGTTCCGATGACGCGCGTCATCGGAACGGAATCGGAAGGAGAACACAAAATTAAATGACTTTATCGGTACCGAGGCTCCCGCGAGGCCATGCGGGAGGGGCGTGTGGCGCAGCTTGGCGCCAGCTATCGTAAAAAAGCGGGCGTGCACTACAGTTCTCGGCGGTGAGTACAATGTCTTTAAGAACAACGGTGCTGCTACGCCTTTACAAATAAATTGAACGCCGAACCGCTTCAGCGGTGGACGGGACGCCACCCTGGAGCTTTGCAGTCGCCCCGGAACGGGAAAGGGGTTTGAGCAACTTTCACCAGACGAACCGCTTCCGGTGTGACCAAGAGGGGTGTGTGTGTGTGTGTGTGCCGCTTCCGGTGTGACCAAGAGGGTTGTGTGTGTGTGTGCCGCTTCCATTGTGACCAAGAGGGGTGTGTGTGTGTGTATGTGTGCGCCGCTTCCGGTATGACCAAGAGGGGTGTGTGTGTGTGTCGCTTCCGGTGTGACCAAGAGGGGTGTGTGTGTGTGTGCCGCTTCCGGTGTGACTAAGAGGGGTGTGTGTGTGTGTGTGTGCCGCTTCCGGTGTGACCAAGAGGGGTGTGTGTGTGTGTGCCGCTTCCGGTGTGACCAAGCGGGGTGTGTGTGTGTGTGCCGCTTCCGGTGTGACCAAGCAAGAGGGGTGTGTGTGTGTGCCGCTTCCGGTGTGACCAAGAGGGGTGTGTGTGTGTGTGTGTGCCGCTTCCGGTGTGACCAAGAGGGCTGTGTGTGTGTGTGTGTGCCGCTTCCGGTGTGACCAAGAGGGGTGTGTGTGTGTGTGTGTGTGCCGCTTCCATTGTGACCAAGAGGGGTGTGTGTGTGCGCCGCTTCCGGTGTGACCAAGAGGGGTGTGTGTGTGTGTGTGTGCTGCTTCCAGTGTGACCAAGAGGGGTGTGTGTGTGTGTGCCGCTTCCGGTATGACCAAGAGGGGTGTGTGTGTGCCGCTTCCGGTGTGACCAAGAGGGGTGTGTGTGTGTGTGTCGCTTCCGGTGTGACCAAGAGGGGTGTGTGTGTGTGTGCCGCTTCTGGTGTTACCAAGTGGGGTGTGTGTGTGTGTGTGCCGCTTCCGGTGTGACCAAGATGGGTGTGTGTGTGTGTCGCTTCCGGTGTGACCAAGAGGGGTGTGTGTGTGTGTGTGCCACTTCCGGTGTGACCAAGAGGGGTTTGTGTGTGTGCCGCTTCCGGTGTGACCAAGAGGGGTGTGTGTGTGTGTGCCACTTCCTGTGTGACCAAGAGGGCTGTGTGTGTGTGTGTGCCGCTTCCGGTGTGACCAAGAGGTGTGTGTGTGTCGCTTCCGGTGTGACCAAGAGGGGTGTGTGTGTGTGTGTGTGCCACTTCCGGTGTGACCAAGAGGGGGTGTGTGTGTGTGCCACTTCCGGTGTGACCAAGAGGGGTGTGTGTGTGCCGCTTCCGTTGTGACCAAAAGGGGTGTGTGTGTGTGTGTGTGCCGCTTCCGGTGTGACCAAGAGGGGTGTGTGTGTGTGCCGCTTCCGTTGTGACCAAGAGGGCTGTGTGTGTGTGTGCCGCTTCCGGTGTGACCAAGAGGGCTGTGTGTGTGTGTGTGCCGCTTCCGGTGTGACCAAGAGGGGTTTGTGTGTGTGCCGCTTCCGTTGTGACCAAGAGGGGTGTGTGTGTGTGCCGCTTCCGGTGTGACCAAGAGGGGTGTGTGTGTGTGTGTGTGCCGCTTCCGGTGTGATCAAGAGGGGTGTGTGTGTGTGTGTGTGCCGCTTCCGGTGTGACCAAGAGGGGTGTGTGTGTGTGTGTCGCTTCCGGTGTGACCAAGAGGGGTGTGTGTGTGTGTGTGTCGCTTCCGGTGTGACCAAGAGGGGTGTGTGTGTGTGTGCCGCTTCCGGTGTGACCAAGAGGGGTGTGTGTGTGTGTGTGTGTGTCGCTTCCGGTGTGACCAAGAGGGGTGTGTGTGTGTCGCTTCCGGTGTGACCAAGAGGGGTGTGTGTGTGCCGCTTCCGGTGTGACCAAGAGGGGTGTGTGTGTGTGTGTGTGCCGCTTCCGGTGTGACCAAGAGGGGTGTGTGTGTGCCGCTTCCGGTGTGACCAAGAGGGGTGTGTGTGTGCCGCTTCCTAACATCGCTGGGGCATCGCACTGCTGCCACGTGACGGCCCCGCTGTGGGGAGCCAGGTGACCACGGCGCACCATCAGCTCCGGCTGTGAAGGGCGTCAAGGGCGGACTGGTTGCCCTGCACGTGCTGGAGGAGGAAGCTGCCGCGCGGCGTCGTGGCTACGTGGCTGACGTCCACTCGAAATATGTGACTTGGACAAACAGAGGCGTTTATTTTTCTTGAGTGTCTGGGGCTCGTGTGAAACGGTCACGTGTAAAAGCATTCTCTAGATGATACTGGATGACAGCGAGCACAGGAATTACTTTTAACATGCTTCAAGTTAGAATGTTATTCTAAGACCATCCCATGATGCTACCGTGTACACAGCACGTAAGTTTATTTCGCCGCTCGCTCCGTCTTCCAGCGGAGCTGCAAACCCCGCGCTCCGCTGTCGGGAGCCTCTCCTCGCGACTCTGGAACAGAGAAACGTCACATTATAGGATGCGTCCGCGAGGTTGACCTGGCACTCCGCAAGTGTCCGATGACCTTGATCCAGACTGAGTGGCACCCAGAGCCTGGAGTCAAACCCATATATGTATGCTGCTGCTGTTGTTGATGATGATGGTGCTCATGATTATGGTGGTCGTGATGATGATGTTTCTGCTGATGAAGAGGAGAGTTAATCGGAATGTGTTCTCGTCTGATGGCGAGAAGCCTTTGTTATCATATATGGTGCCATTTGGCGATGAACATTGGAGCTACAATTGACCAGAAAACTCAAAAGATGTTAACTTCTTAACTTAGACTCTATAAAATAGAACGTATGTTTATCAGTCAAGGCCCAAGCGAGAGAGACGAGAGAGCGAGACGGGGACAAAGCGAGAGAGTGAGACTCGTGGACGGAGGGACAGGGGAGAGCAACCCCAGTCCCAGGCCTCAAACTGTTGCCTCATTTGATATCGCCGTGGCCGTTAAACACCTTTTTGAGATGGAGCAATCTGACCTAGCGCTCGAATCCGGGCCCTCATTTACTGGCCGTTACGAGCTGCCTAAAATAGCGAGACACCGAGACCCTGGGCTCGTTACATCGGAACCTCCGATTCGCCGGCTCGGTTGTTCCTGCTTGGCCATCATCGTGAACATCGTTAGAGCTTCATGATGATGGGCGCCATGGTGACGAGACGTTAACTGCCTCGCCTGGTGTGCAGGAGGTCGTGGTTTTCATCCCGACCCTGACGCCTGCTGTGTAATTGGAGTTTGCGTCTCTCTCTCTCTCCCTCTCATCGTCATCATGGCGGCTAGGCGATGTTAACTACCTCGCTTGGTGTGCAGGAGGTCGTGGGCTCGATCCAGACCCTGAAGCCTGCGTGTCTCTCTCCCCGTGGTCCCGTCGATTTTTTACTCCGGGTCCTCCAGTTTTTCCCTCCACATTTATAAATATGCGTTTAGTGTATTTGGCTGCTCTAAATTTCCACAGGACAAGCCACTTCGTTGAGCTTATCATTTGTGATGGCCAGGTCCCGTTTCCGAAAAATAGCTATATAGCTAAGTGGGCCCTTACTTGGTAAAATAAAAAAAATAGTTTCGTCGTTTTAAGTTCGGAAAACATTCGCACCCAAGGAACTCGGCTCTTCTGACTTGCCCATTACGGAGCTCCTGAGCGAGCGAGATCCAGCCACGCACCTCGACGCAGGGATCAAAACCCAAGCACCTCATCGGTCCCTTTTGGCCCCCCAGATTTCAACGAAAGTTAACGCCGTTGTTGCGTCCGCGTGCGCGGACGAACCGGGGGCGTCCAACTTCATCGCGGCTGTGTGTGCATCTTTCCTCCCCAGGAGCGCCGTGTAATCTGGCGAACACGTTCATAAATGCCACTGTGACGTTCCCTTTCTTTTCTTCTCCCCAGCTCCTGCGAACGTTAACCCGCCATCCGCAGAATGCGTCTTCGACGCCGCTTCGATGATCAGCCCTGAGGTTAGCAGGAGTCCTTCTCCCGTCCACAGCCTGGAGGTCGTGAACTCCACCCCTACAAAGAAGGCCGAGGCTACTGCCGCCGCCGCCGCCGCCGCCGCTGCTGCTGCTGCAGCGACCGCTGCCGCTGTCGGAGCGGCGGGGAAGGTGAAAGTAACAAAAGAGAAGAGATACGAGTGCAAATTCCAAGGTGCGTTGCGTTGATGCTGTTGCTGTTGTCGTTTAGGCTGTGTTGATCATTTTTTGGAGACCGTCAGCTCGCTACACCCCGAGGTCGCGGTTTAATCGCAGGCAGTGGATGCAACCCGGATTCGAACCCAGGGTTCTCAGCTGTGCTGGCTCAAGATCACCACGGTGGCATCATGGTGGCTAGGAGATGTTAACTACCTCGCTTGGTATACAGGAAGTCGTGGGTTCGATCCCGACCCTGACGCCTGCTGCTGTATATTTGGAGTTTGCGTGTCTCTCTCTCATCACCAACACGGTGGCTAGGAGATGTTAACTACCTCGCCTGGTGTACAGGAGGTCGTGGTTTCCATCCCGACCCTGACGCCTGCTGTGTATATTTGGAGTTTGCGTGTCTCTCTCTCATCACCAACACGGTGGCTAGGAGATGTTAACTACCTCGCTTGGTATACAGGAAGTCGTGGGTTCGATCCCGACCCTGACGCCTGCTGCTGTATATTTGGAGTTTGCGTGTCTCTCTCTCTCTCATCACCAACACGGTGGCTAGGAGATGTTAACTACCTCGCCTGGTGTACAGGAGGTCGTGGTTTCCATCCCGACCCTGACGCCTGCTGTGTATATTTGGAGTTTGCGTCTCTCTCATCATCACGGTGGCTAGGAGATGTTAACTGCCTCGCCTGGTATGCAGGAGGTCGTGGTTTCGATCCAGACCCCTGATGCCTGCTGCTGCTGCTGTATATTTGGAGTTTCTGGCTCTCTCTCTCCCCGTGGTCGCGTGGATTTTTCTCCGGCTCCTCCGGATTTTCCCTCCGCATTTTGGGCGACTATGGATTTCCACATTAAGAGCCAATTATTTGTGCGTTCATTTGTGGCCGAGCCACTTCTGAGAAACGAGTTGTACGGCTCGGTGGGCCTTACCTGGTAAAATAAAAAAAAAAGTTTTCAAAAGGTCTCTGACCTCCGGGCCGTCCCCACCACCTCCTGAGAGAAGCGTTACAGAGTGTTGTTTTCACTCGACACAAACCACAAGTGGGTGTGGAGCTGCAGGACAATGGTCAGCTGAGTTTCGGATTTGCCTCTTACGCAGGTACACTCGTTCATCGTTTTAACACGCGAGTCGATGCCTTCCTGAAAAGTGGCACGTCAATCGAAAATGACAGGGCGTAAGTATATCACATTGTGCAAATTTAAAATCGCATTTGGACTATCAAATAAGCCCGCAGTCATCCCATGGCGGGACAAATAACGGAGGGCACGCCGCCACCGAACTGCATCGTACCGCTAAGCCGCGCCGCTCAAGAAAGTAGTTTTAACGGGGGCACATTTCTCGATATAACGGTGCGCGTTGGGCGTTATAACCGGCGCGGTCCGCGAAAAGTGATCCCGAATGCGTTAAACGAGGACTTCCAGTAATGGACACCGATTTAATGATGAAGGTGTTACGGTAGATGATGCCGCTATTGTGCGCGCGCACGTGTGTGTATGCTCGTATGCACGGGGGTGGAGCGGTTTCGACGGCCGTTAGCGCGCCGTGCTCGGAACTCGGGGGGCATCCTGTCCTGTCGATTCCCGCCCATGACTTCGCATCGGTGGCAAATGATGTGAACCTGTCCTGCGCCACCAATCGGCTGATCCAGCCTTTAATGGGAGTCGTGGTGCGGTGCAAGTTAGCCATATTTGTCTGTTGTAGTGCGCAGAGTTAGACTGGTAACTTTAATCTGAATTGTCTCATGGTTGTTGTTGTTATTTTTCTGGAAGACTTTGCCGTTTTTTCCCGGATTTTTTTCCTGTTGCGCGTCGTCACTTTAAGATGTTTTTTCCTGTTCGTGTTTTTGTTTTTTTGTGTTGTTGCGGTTGCACCCGATTCAAGAGCCGAATGGCTCACAGGGCCATGCCTAATAAATAAACTGAAACTTTGGTGAGACTGTAAGATTGGTCGTGTGTGTGTGTGTGTGTGCGCAGGATGTAATTTTAAAACTGCTCACACGAAGGACATCACAAGACACGTACGCACGCACACTGGTGAGTCACAACCGCACTCAACCCTCTCCTCTCTACCCACTCTGGCCCCCCCCCCCCACCGCCCCCCACCCACCACTGTGTTGATTTTGCATTTTGCCCGTGAGCTCGCGATCCTTTCCGAGATCAAAAGCGAGCAGCTCCCCTGCTGGGTTTGTAGTGCAGCGCGCTAAGCACCGCACCGCCGCTCCCCACACACACACACAACCACAAAGATCCCCACCGTGTAGCCTGTAACAGACTGCTGGGGCAAGTGCTGTTAGCGAGCAGCACCCGTGAAGGCCGGCACGGCGCACGAGGGGGGTGGGTGGCCAGCACCGCGCCCGGCCGCCTTTGTCTCCCCCAGTGGCGATGTTCACTACACACCGCACCCAGGTACTCATTTGAGACCGAGTCGACCTAGGGGAGGCCCGGGACCGGGTTCAGATAAGCGTCACCGGTGTTGGCCGCGAGCGGGAGTCGAACTCGGTCCCACCGGGTTCGTAGCGCGGCGCGCTAACCGCTACACACTGTCACCCCCTCACGCTCACTCACACACACACTCACACACACACGCACGCACACACACGCACGCACACGCACGCGCACAGGGGAGAAGCCGTTTGAGTGCGGCGTGTGCGGCAAGGCGTTCTCGCGGCGGGACAAGCTGCAGCTGCACGCGCGCGCTCACACGGGCCGCCGTCCCTACCAGTGCATGGAGTGCGACTACTCATCGTCCGACGGCAGCAGCATGCGCAAGCACCTGCGCACGCACACGGGCGAGCGGCCCTTCCGCTGCCAGATCTGCCCCTACGCCAGCCGCAACGCCAGCCAGCTCGTCGTGCACCTGCGCTCGCACACCGGTGAGTGGCGTGGGGGGGGGGAGCGGGGGGGGGCCCTCGTCTCGTTCCAGGCCGATTCCACCGAGGGGAAGCCTAGGGCCGGCTTAGGGGAGCGCCACGCTTGAGCCGTAGGGAAGGTCCCGCCGCCGCCGCCGCCGCCGCCGCCGCCGCCAAGCCATTCTCTGTCGGGTCCTTCCTCTCCTACCGGTTCCTTTACATTTCTTTCCCCCAAATGTTGCTGCTGCTGCTGCTGTCGATCCTACGACATACCGCTGGTATCCAGACAGTGCCCGGTTTACCGTCTCGTCGCTGCCTGCGGCATCGTCGTCATCGTTGTCATCGTTGTCATCGTTGTCATCGTCGTCGTCTGCTGCTGCTGCTGCTAGCGACCTTTTCTTCCTGCTTCCCCGTCGGTCGCCATTTGTACTCCGGGGGAGGGCAACCGCTGGGCGTCGTCGATTCGTCCCCGCGCGATATCTTCTGAAGCTCCTCCCGCGTCGCCGCGGCTGTTCACGCTCCGATTTCTGCTCGCCTCGATTTCGCACCGTCTATCCCGCCTGGTTGGTCATCCAGGCCACGAAACCCCCGCTACGAAGTGAGGATCCACCCGGTCAAGCGAAACAAAGACGGGAGATTTCCCCCGCGTAGCCTCTGACGGGGCTGTGAGGGGGGGCAAGTTGCCGTCAGCGAGCGGCACCCGTGAAGGCCGGCGCTGTGGCACACGGCGGGGGTGGGAGCGGTGCCGGCCGCCTTTGTCTCCCCAGCGGTGACGTTTACTACACACCGCTACACCGGGTACTCGTTTGAGGCCGAGTCGACCTAGGGGAGGCCCAGGACCGGTTTGGATAATCGACGCCGGTGTTGGCGGTGAGCGGGAATCGAACTCGGGTCGCCGGGTTCGTGGCGCAGCGTGGCGCTGACCGCTGCGCCACCGCTCCTCGCTCTGCACAACACTCATGCACACCACACGTATGGCCACCAGTAGCAATCACAATGCACTTTCATATTTCAACGTAATTATGTCACGGTAATATATTATTCTTATTATTACTATTCCCTACCTGTTCCTGACTACTTGCGCTCACCGCTACACACACACTGGAATATCACCCCACCGTACGTGCATCTCGCCCCCCCCCCCTCGCCCCCACCCCTCGCCCCCCCCCTCGCCCCCCCCCCCCCACCTCTTCTCCGACTGCTTTGTATAGGCGACTCGCCCTTCCACTGTCAGCTGTGCAGCGCCAAATTCAAGATCAACTCGGACCTCAAGCGGCACATGCGCGTGCACTCGGGCGAGAAGCCCTACAAGTGCGACCACTGCGACTACCGCAGCTCCATGAAGGCCAACGTGAAGTCGCACGAGCGCTCGCGACACCGCCTCGAGCAGCAGCAGCAGCAGCAGCAGGAGGGGAAGCCGGCACGGCCGGCGCCGGCACCGGCGCCGGCGCCTCCGCCGGCCGTGCCGGCCGTGGCGGCCCCGGCGCCTCTGCGCTGCGACTACCGCGGCTGCGACTTCGCGTGCGAGGGTCGCACGGCCATGCGGGCCCACGCCCGCGCCCACGGCATCGCCGCCTCGCCGCGGCACCGGCGCTCCGGGCGGCGCTCGGAGGAGCGGGGAAGCCCCGCGCGGACGCCGTCGAAGCAGCAGCAGCAGCAGCAGCAGCAGCAGCAGCGGCCGCACGGCTGCGAGGCGTGCGGCGCGGCCTTCGTGCGCGCCGACTCCCTGCGCTCGCACCGGCGGCAGCACGAGGAGGTGGCGCGCACCGTGCAGAGCGCGGCGCTCGCCGTGCTGCAGCTGGGCGGCGGAATGGCGCAGGGGGAGCGGCGGCGGGAGCGGCTGGCGCCGGGCGACGGCCGCGCCGCGGACGGGGCCGGCGGAGCGATCGCCGTGGCCGAGGAGGAGGTGCTGCGGATCGTCATCGCGGGCCCGCCGGTGCCGCCCAGCGACGAGATCGTGAGGGCCGCCATGCGCATCGCGCACGGCGGCGGCGGCGGCGACTGCGGCGGCGGCGGCGGCGGCGGCGAGGTCGGCGGCCAGGACGAGGCGGCGGCCGAGGCGGCGGCCGAGGCGGCGGCGGCCGCGGCGGCGGCGTCGCAGTCCAGCGCCGTGCGTCTGCTGCACGAGATGGGCCTGCTCGCGTCGGCGGCCGGAGGGAGCGCCGCCGCTGCCCCGGCTGCCCCGGCGTCGGAGGAGGAGGAGGAGGCGGCGGCGGCGGCGGCGGCGGCGGCGGCGGGGGAGGAGGAGGAGGAGGAGGGGGAGGAGGAGGCGCCGTCGGTGCGTCTGGCGTCGGGAGAAGTCGTCCGCGTGGACCACGGCGGCGCGGCGGCGGCGCAGGAGCGTCGGCGGTGGCGGCAGCAGGTGGAGGTGTCGTCGCACGGCCACTTCGTGGTGAGGGCGGCCACCCCCACGCTGAGCATCGTTCGCTTCGGGCCCGTGGAAGACGTCGCGGTCGCGGCTCACCTGCAGCAGCTGCAGCAGCAGCAGCAGCAGCAGGAGGCGGCGGCGGGGCTGGCGGCAGAGGCGTCGGAGGCGGCGGCGGGGCTGGCGGAGGGCGCTGCGGGCGGGCTGATTCTGCAGACGCTGCCCATAATCGTCGCGGCTTCCCAGAGCGCAGCGGCCGCTGCGACGGAACCCGATCCGTAGAGGCTGTCCGGAGGAGGCCGGACGGGCGGGCGGGCGGGCGGCTCGTCGGTTTCGGGTTCACGTCGCGCAAACGAAACCTGCCCCAGTGTTTTTCTTTGCCGAATTTTTTTTTGTTTTGCTGTTCTTATTGCCTATCTATTTTTGTTAATTTATTTTTGTTCCGCCTCCGGCCGCGCCGCGTTTGTGCGCCGGCCGACGAAGGCACTCGGGCGACGGCTCCGTACGGAACCCAACTCGGCGGTGCCGGTGCAGGGAGCGCCGCGCTCCCAACCCGGCCAACAAGGGTTCGGTTCCCGCTCGCGACCACCGATGGCAGTGGAGGAATATACGTCCTGAGCCTTCCCTGGGTCGGTAAACATCGCCCGCCGGGGAGGCGAAGGCGAGCGGGCGCGGTGCTGGCCACCCACCCCCTCGGCGGCCGTGCCGTGCCACCCCTCGCAGGCGAGTGCTGCTCGCTGAGCAGCACTCGCCCCAACAGCCTGCTACGGGCTACGCGGGTGACCCGCGTCTTCATCTGAATGCGTGCGTGGTTGATTTTTGAAAGCAGAGCGCGTCTAGCCTCGCGGTGAGAGCCGACGGCCGAGGATGGCAATCTCTCTACCCGCGTCCGAGCGAGGGAAGGGCGCGAGGTGGGAGTGTGAGGGTGTGTGTGTGGGGGGGGGTTAGGGGAGCGGATCGGCCGCTGAACAGCACGGAGAGTTCGTTCGTCCCAGCTTGCGAGCCGCAAGGTTCTTTCCCATGATTCTCAATACGGGGGGAGTAGGGGGAGGGGGGGAGGGGGGGGGAGGTGCATGGCGCTCGGCAATTCCCGGCAAGTGGCCCGCACGCGTTGAGCGGTCGACTCCGTGCTAGCACCTCTTTCACACCACGGTACGTAGCCGGCCGTGCTGGTGGGGAGTGTGGTGAGTCTGTGGGTCTCTGTGTGGTGAGTCTGTGGGTCTCTCTGGTGAGTCTGTGGGTCTCTGTGTGATGAGTCTGTGGGTCTCTATGTGTGGTGAGTCTGTGGGTCTCTGTGTGGTGAGACTGTGGGTCTCTGTGTGGTGAGTCTGTGGGTCTCTCTGGTGAGTCTGTGGGTCTCTGTGGTGAGTCTGTGGGTCTCTGTGTGATGAGTCTGTGGGTCTCTGTGTGGTGAGTCTGTGGGTCTCTGTGTGGTGAGTCTGTGGGTCTCTGTGTGGTGAGTCTGTGGGTCTCTGTGTGGTGAGTCTGTGGGTCTCTGTGTGGTGAGTCTGTGGGTCTCTGTGTGTTGAGTGTGTGGGTCTCTGTGTGGTGAGTCTGTGGGTCTCTGTGTGGTGAGTCTGTGGGTCTCTGTGTGTTGAGTGTGTGGGTCTCTGTGTGGTGAGTCTGTGGGTCTCTGTGTGTTGAGTGTGTGGGTCTCTGTGTGGTGAGTCTATGGGTCTCTGTGTGGTGAGTGTGTGGGTCTCTGTGTGTTGAGTGTGTGGGTCTCTGTGTGGTGAGTCTGTGGGTCTCTGTGTGGTGAGTCTGTGGGTCTCTGTGTGTTGAGTGTGTGGGTCTCTGTGTGGTGAGTCTGTGGGTCTCTGTGTGGTGAGTCTGTGGGTCTCTGTGTGTTGAGTGTGTGGGTCTCTGTGTGTTGAGTGTGTGGGTCTCTGTGTGGTGAGTCTGTGGGTCTCTGTGTGGTGAGTCTGTGGATCTCTGTGTGGTGAGTCTGTGGGTCTCTGTGTGGTGAGTCTATGGGTCTCTGTGTGTTGAGTGTGTGGGTCTCTGTGTGGTGAGTCTGTGGGTCTATGTGTGGTGAGTCTATGGGTCTCTGTGTGATGAGTCTGTGGGTCTCTGTGTGGTGAGTCTGTGGGTATCTGTGTGGTGAGTCTGTGGGTATCTGTGTGGTGAGTCTATGGGTCTCTGTGTGGTGAGTATATTGGTCTCTGTGTGTTGAGTCTATGGGTCTCTGTTTGGTGAGTCTATGGGTCTCTGTGTGGTGAGTCTGTGTATGCAAGTTGAACTTGTTTCGCACCACGGTACGTAGCCAGCCGTGCTCGTCGGAGTGTGTGGGGAAGGACCACAAACTAATCACGACATTTTTGTTTCAGCCAACCCGGAGGAGGAGGAGGAGGACGAGTGTTGAAAAAAAGCAAGCACACTTTTATTTTACAAGTTTGTCCGACGTTTCGCTGGAGAGTGCATCAACTGGTGTTGCTGCTGCTGATGATGTGGGATGCAATAACTCCGGCGAAACGTCGAGAAAGGTGATTCCTATGAAGGGGAACAGATGAGCACGTGGCATGTAGAATGCACGCAGCTGAATGTATGTACGCCGAACTTCTTTCGCACCGTACGTAGCCAACCGTGCTAATCGGAGGTGCGTGTGTGGTGAGCAGAGGATTATGAATTGTCTGCTACAGCGCGTTTACAATCATCCAGCCAACCCAGCCACCCCATCCAGGCACATACGCAGCACCCACTCCACCTCCCTCAACTCCACCCAACCCAGCTTGTACAAATATTAATTATTTGTCGGCGTTGGCAGTAACCCCGCAGAACAATATATGACGAAAATATATTTTAAGTCGTCCAATGTCACTGGCATTGGCCAAATATTACAATGCTTGATAAGTTGTCTGCGATTGATTCAATTGGAATCGCAGCAGCAACCCCCCCCCCTACTGCACGACAAAAACTTGGCAGGACCCTCCTGAAAAAAGTGTGTTGAGAATCGGTGTGAGGCTTCCCTGGGTAAAATAATTGCGAATAACTGCATTTATCTTGATTTTGTTGTTGTAACCGGGTGTTAACACGAGACCAGAATGAGCCTCGTTTGCGGGAGTTGACCTGGGCTACCAAAATTGCCATGTCACAAAAAACGAACGATCAATGAAGCCGATACAATATAAAACAAATTCCAGAGCAAAAGTAACCCCAAAAAAAAATCGCGTTTTGAAAAAAATCTCAAATACCGCATCAACAACACGATATAAATGTTCCTATGTTTAAAGTTATGGGAACTCATTTTATCTTGTCGCCCCCCCCCCCTCCAAGCGTGGGGGGGGTGGACTCGATCAATGACAAACGAGTTCACGATGAGTAGTGGTTGGTGGGGTGAGGCGGAGTGGCGAGAGCCCACCCCCCCTCGTATCGAGGCGTCGACGCTGGACTGAGCCCGCTCCGGTGGGGAGGGAGCCGCTACCACAATTGCGGCCTCTCACTGCCCACCAGAGGCCGCTCTTCCCCCCCCCTCCTCGACCGCGTGTCCGCCGCCACCACGTGGCCTTGCGTCACGCAGCGCTTCGTAGCCGGCCCCCTCCAACGTCACGTGACGCGGCGACGGACTTTGTGACGTCGCTTCGTGACCGGAAACGGGACGCGCCGACGAAACGGAGGCGATTTTGCTGATCGACGTGGGCGCCGAGGCATCGGGTGCCGGTCTCCTGCTCCCCAGCCCCTGAGACAATGGTGAATAGTCCACGTTCACGTTCCTGTGATGAGGATGGGTGTGGGGGAGAGGCCATAGTACGGCCACGGTTGGCTTGCCGCGGTGATGTCTGTGGTCATTTTGAAGTTGCCATTGGGACCGCTTGCGTGTGTGGATCGCGGAGCCCTATTGTGATATCAGAAATATGGGTCACAGTTTATGACGTTACAGTACGGTGGATGATTTAATGTTGGTTAGCGGAAAACTGTCGGTGACTTCCTGCTCAAATGAGCATTGATTCCCCCCCCCCCCCCAACAAAGTGGTGCTCATTTTATCGACCCCAGAGGGTGGGATGATGGGCGTCTACTGCTGATCCACCTGACCAAGACGCCTGGAAACCTGGAAAATGAATTTATTTAGAACTGCTTTTTTGTGTTTAGTTTGTCTTACCCACACACCTCTCATTAGCACGATTGGCTACGTACAGTGCGAAAGAAGTTCAACGTACACGTACATAAATCACGAATAGCTGAAACCCAGTCTCCATCTAAGATGATTTATTGCAACGCTTATGTTTCAAAATAACGTGTTTCATCAATGGTTTTTACAAACCAGCTGTTATTTTATATTATTAATAGAAGTCAGTATTCTTTAACGTGGGCTAAAACATTTGTATTTATATGTAGAGAGAGAGACATAACGGAGTTCCGATTATATTTGGCTTTACCCACGATAATGTATTTGTACGTGGCATTGCGTTGTGCATTGAACGGTGATACCATATCGTTAATATGGAGAGCTCTTGCCAATAACCTGTAAACCATCAGCATTTGTTGAACAAGCATGACTGCTGATGAGGCCCAAGAAGTCTGAACGAATTCAGACTTTGCTTGCTTAAACAAATGCCGCTGGATAATATTGCTCTGGAAAGCGGATGGGTCAATGGATTAAAACATCAATACAATTATTTGTGCATTGTACTTTCTTTCTATGTGTTCTGTTCAAATTACTAGCTTGCTTCGGCCAACCAAAGTTGGCTCTGTGCTCAGCGGTGCGAAAGAAGTTCAACATACATACCTAGACTGACATAGAGACCCATAACCTCACACTGAGACCCATAGACTCACACAGACCCGTAGACTCACACAGAGACCCATAGACTCACACTGAGATCCATAGACACAGAGACCCATAGATTCACACAGAGACCCGTAGACTCACACTGAGACCCATAGACTCACACTGAGACCCATAGACTCACACAGAGACCCACAGACTCACACAGAGACCCGTAGACTCGCACAGAGACCCATAGACTCACACAGAGACCTCATAGACACACAGAGACCCATAGACTCACACAGAGACCCATAGACTCACTCAGAGTCCCATAGACTGAGACAGAGACCCATAGACTCACACAGAGACCCGTAGACTCACACAGAGACCCGTAGACTCACACAGAGACCCGTAGACTCGCACAGAGACCCGTAGACTCACACATAGACCCGTAGACTCACACAGAGACCCGTAGACTCACACAGAGACCCGTAGACTCACACAGAGACCCGTAGACTCACACATAGACCCGTAGACTCACACAGAGACCCGTAGACTCGCACAGAGACCCGTAGACTCGCACAGAGACCCGTAGACTCACACATAGACCCGTAGACTCACACATAGACCCGTAGACTCACACAGAGACCCGTAGACTCACACATAGACCCGTAGACTCACACATAGACCCGTAGACTCACACAGAGACCCGTAGACTCACACAGACACCCGTAGACTCACACAGAGACCCGTAGACTCGCACAGAGACCCGTAGACTCACACAGAGACCCGTAGACTCACACAGAGACCCGTAGACTTACACATAGACCCCTAGACTCACACATAGACCCGTAGACTCACACAGAGACCCGTAGACTCACTCAGAGACCCGTAGACTCACACATAGACCCCTAGACTCACACAGACCCATAGACTCACACAGAAACCCATTTCTTTAGAACTGCTTGTTGTGTTTAGTTTGTTGCCCATCCCCCGCACTTCCGATTAGCACGCTTTGCTACGTGCGGTGCGAAAGAAGTTCAACAACAAACATACACGCAACCTCAATGGGCGTTCGCCTGGTTAAATAAACTCAATGGGCTGTCATCTGGTTAAATAAAGTACGCCGATTACAGGAGATCATTAATCTCAATGGGTTCTCAACTGGTGTAAATAAAGGACGCAAACTATAACATGTAATCCATCTCAACGGGCTCAATGCTACGTACGGTGCGAAAGAAGCCCAGCGTACATACGATGGGACGCTAACCTGGTGAAAGAAAGGAATTTGCATCATTTAAGAAAAAACGAACTTCCAAGGACTTTCACCTGACTTCATAAAGGACGTCGACCAGGTAGATAAACATCAATGTGCCCTGGTGTGGTGCAAATAGAGCATCTTCATTCATCGATACGTTCCCATCAATGGACTGGTGTGGTCATACAGTACAAGGATAAAAGGGCATGCACCGGCAGAGATAAGCAAACTCAATGGACTCTCACCCAGTTTAATAAAGGGCCGCATTCAATTCGCGACTGCTGTTTGCTCTTCGCTTTACAGCCTTCATGCACGATCAAGGTTTAGGTGGAACCATGAATTAATGTTACCGCTGCAGAGCACCTTTATAGCCACCTGTTAGTGAAGCAGATCAGTCCTTTTTTTCGTCTTTTGGTCGTCGTGGGAATCGTAAAAAAAAAATCGTGATACAAGCATGAAACTTGCCGTGGAGATACATTCACAAGTGTGGGTGCTTTTTTTCGGGAGGAAAAAAAACATTCGTTAGAGACTTTAAACAAACAAAATGGCCGCCATTTTTGCCACGCGGGCCACCATTTTTTTGGTGGCGGCCATTTTTTATTTCTTTAGATGTCTAAAGTTGTGCTTATTATGTTTATCATTATTCTTGGTTCTTTCGGTAAACTCACGTTGAAGGGAAACAAATAATAAAAAATATATATAACAATACAATTCTCACGACGTTTCGACTGCAACACAAGCAGTCATCATCAGGTGTGAAAACCAATGGCAAGAACATTTGAAAGAAGTGGCGGTTTTTATTTAGTGGCGGTTTTTATTTAAAATATTTAAATAAATAAATACAAACTGCAAGGTCACCGCCACCAGCGCAGAGGTTTTGGAACACCCACGCTTCACCCCACCGCACGCGACCTCTGCCCACGGATCGACTAACTGCACGGGGCATTCATTTACTGTGCTGGGTGGTGGACAGAGAGAGGTGGGGGGGCGATCTCAGAAACTCACCCGTATGTTTCAACGAATAAGCGAAATCACGACGTTTCGATCGCAACACATGCGACCGTCATCGGGTGGAACTGCTGACGTAGAAGCAGTTCTCCTGTTGCATCTGTTCCACGTGATGACGGTCGCTCGTGTTGCGATCGAAACGTCGTGGTTTATTTTATTCTGTACCCACTACGTGGACTTTACCGAAAGAACCAAAGAGTCTGGATTCCTGCAGTCACGAAAGCTTCAAATCGAGATTAATGAACTAAACTTGGCGTTTTTATTCTACCAGGTAAGGCCCAGTGAGCTATGTAGCCCCCTTTTTTTCTTCAGAAGCGACCTGGCCATCACAAATGGGAGCTCACGCGGGAATTTGTAGCAGCCCAATGCTCTAAGCGCGTGGTGATGTTGATTCTAAATGTGGAGGGGGTGGGGAACGGGAAGACCCAGAGGAAAATCCACGCGACCACGGGCAGAGAGAGAGACACGCAAACTTCAAATATACAGCAGCAGGCGTCAGGGTCGGGATCGAACCCACGACCTCCTGTATACCAGGGGAGGGAGTTAACATCTCATAGCCACCGTGATGATGATGAGAGAGAGAGACACGCAAACTCCAAATATACAGCAGGCGTCAGGGTCGGGATCGAACCCACGACCTCCTGCACACCAGGCGAGGTAGTTAACATCTCCTAGCCACCGTGTGCTCACCATTACGAGGATCTCACGGGACACATACGATTGCGCGTAGACGACAATTAGTGAATGTGTGTGGTGTCTGTGGTGTGTGTATGTGTGGTGTGTGTGTTTGGTGTTGTATATATAGGCCTTTTTCCATTTTTTTATATTAATAATGATTTTGCCAATATTTTTGTTTTCATATAATCACTCGCGGGGTCGCTGGGAGCACAAACAAACGGAACCCCCCCCCAGGAGCTGTCTTGTCACTCTCGCAAAGATAATGACACCCTCCCCTCCCACTTAACGGAAAGGGTCAGTCATAAAGTCAAATAAAAAACACGCAAACACACGCCCCCCCTCCCCGGACGAAGGATAACAAACAGGCGTTTCGTTTTGGTTAACTTTTCCATGCTTCTAACAAATGGTAAAAATTCCAAAACTTAGCGACCAAACAAGAAGCTAACATTATCGACCCTCACACTCACTCCAATTAAAAACCAGGCTACAATCTGCATCAGTGGATCGTCACTCCTCATTCATTAATTCAATACTAATGTTAGTTTCACCTTTAATAATTTTCTACACGATCTGACCGAAGCATCAAGAAGAATTCTGGCAGTCGGGGTTATTCCTAAGCCAAAACGAATTCTCTAAACCTCGGGATATCAGATAATAACAATTACTCGAGAACAAACAGCGCAAACGCAGGATACCGGCGGTGGGAACGAAAGTTAATAAACCCTAATAAATACGTGGTGATGATCATGTTAAATCACAAATCTGGGGAAACATAAACCAAATAATAATGATGCAGTATTAAACCGGGGGGGCAGCCAGAAGAGATGAGGCGAGGTGTGTCGATCACGTGACCAAGATAAATGTATCCCAGAGAGAAAGAGAGCCTCCCGGCCGCCTTTGTCTTCCCGCAGCGCGTGATAAGAATTTGCATACGCAGGCAGAGGGCATCTCCCCTTAAAAATAAAAATCAAACGCCACGATGGAAATACTACTACAACATACCGTGAGTCACGTACGGAATCATAACTGCAAGTGGTACGGTATCAAACTACGAGGTAAAATAAATGCTTAAACTTCAAAAGCCTCCACACACCCTTTGTGCGAGTCAACATAATGTCACACATCGGGAGGGAAGGGCAGGGGGGAGAGGAGTCGACCGGACAGGGGGCACTCCCCTCCTTACAGATTAATTAGTACAGAGGGTGAGAAAGAAGGACGCACTCGGGGCAGTCTGGAGCATCAGTTTCCTTACTCTTTGGTTCTATTCGGTAAAGTCACGTAGGTAAAAAATGAAACAACAAAAATCACGACGTTTCGGCCACAACACAAGTGGCCTTCATCAGGTGAAGGGGACCGTACTGTCACGAGGACAGCGTTGGAGTGAAGGCAGTCCAGCCCAGGTCGCGTCCTTTTAAGCTGTTTCCTTTTGATGGTGGGATGGCTTGAGGCAGGCGACAGGGAACCATGCCTTGATGAAACTCATTACCTCAATAAATATGACACACACGGACACACGTCCAACCCCCCCCCCCCTACCACAACACAGAGCGAGATGAAAGGAAGTTTCGGTCCTTTGTGAGAAGGCGAGCAGAGGTGGGCGAAATTCCACATATAGCCAGCGACTCCACACACACAGATCAGCTCGACAAGAAGACACGCAGCAGCTCGGAAGAGGACAGCAAGCCAGCTCCGGAGCATGGCCTCGAGATCAACAACAACGCGTGTGGTGCATCGCGGAGAAGAGGGGCGAGGTGATGCGGCATGGACCGACAGAGTATGGCTAAAAGTTATTCTCAGCGTCAGGCAATCAACCTCGAGAAGGGGCGGAGAGGGCCTAACGTCGACCAAGCCAGCGTTGCAGAAACCAGCTGCACGCGCAATCGGCACCGCCAGAGAGAGAGAGACGGAGCAAGAGAGAGTCGCGCAGCAGCGCCACCAGCGCCGCCGAGCAAAGGGTGACAGCTGCCAGCGGACAAGCGTTGTGCCGACTCGGCTCATCCAGCAGGGGAAAGAGCCTGACCGGCCGCCCGTGAGCGAGAGCGTCGGCGCCAGCGAGCGCGCCGTGGGTTCGACCCACACGCCACGCCGACCGGCACCGGCTGGGAACCACGACAAGAGTGAGGAACTGCGGCGAGCGGAAGAGCTGCGGGCGCTATCTGACGACGGATCATCGCGCGCCGACGGCGAGCGCCGTGCCGACCCTTCCAGCCAGCTGTGGACAGAAACTGTGGCCGCCCGTGTGAAAGAGGGAGTGTCAAGCTGTCCGTATGATACACTCACACCCTCACAACCCTCACCGCTCCGCAGGGAACAAACACATTTTTCAATGAAGGGATGCCCAACCCCGGCGTCTGCTTAACGCAATGAATTAACGCAAGAAGACCAACAACATTATGAGATCTTCTTTGGTTCTTTCGGTAAAGTCACGTAGAATGAGAATAAAATAATGAATTGATAAAATAAAATAACACAATAATATTCTCACGACGTTTCGGCCACAACACAAGCGGCCTTCATCAGGTGAAGGGGACGAGACTGTCTGGAGGACAGCGCTGGAGTGAGAAAGCCACGCTGAGATCACGACCTTTAAGCTGTGTGAGAAGAAACAAAGCGCCTTGACAAAGGAATTAGCATATCATTTAGCATTGAAATGGCTGAGTGATTAGCTTGTGACTGGTCACAGAAAAGGCTATGTTAAAGTTAAAGTATACACATCCGCAGAGGCACTCCTTGACAAAGGAATTAGCATATAATTTAGCATTGAAATAGCTGAGTGATTAGCTTGTAACTGGTCACAGAAATAGCTATGTTAAAGTCAGAGCATATACATTCACCGAGGCACCTAGTACAAATCAAACAGGAGAATTTAGCATTGAAATAACTAGGCGAATTTAGCATTGAAATAACTGAGTGATTAGCTTGTGACTGGTCACAGAAAGGCGATGTTAAAGTTAAAGCATACACATCTGCAAGAGACCTCCTTTACCAGTAACACGATATAGTAATAGGTTTTACCCTTTTAACTGGCACAAAAGCTGACACCTTTATTCGCCTTTTGGGGTCATCTGGTCCAACACCAGTGGAGACTAGGCTCTAAGAAAAGCCGTCTCGGGTGTGGACCAATCAAATTCAAGGACAGTGCATATTATTAACAGAGTTGTCTCTTTTGTTTGCATTTTGACTGCTTGTGTTGTGGTTATTGCAAACATGATGCCTTGAATAAAGGTGTCAGTTTTTGTGCCAGTAAAAAGGGTAAAACCTATTACTGACACCAACAACACTCACACATTAACACGTACACGAAGACTCATGATAAGTGCGTCAACTATTAACTGATAACGAAGCACATTACGGCCCATTGAGTTACGTGGATACGGTCATTTAGAAGTAATTTACTCGTTCGTTTTTTTCTTTTTAATTGCATAATCTTACCAATGAATTAATTGATAGCTACTCTTGCCTTCGGGACATGTTTCTTCATTGCCTTTCGTATGAATATCGTTGCATGAATTTTTAAGGACTTTTCCTCTCGCCGTGTATGCTCGCGTACTCTGAGGAATAATCGAATGTACTGTTACCCAGTTAACAAACGTGATCATTGAGGGTTAAATGTATGGATCGATGAGGGGAACATCTCCTGGAGTACTGTGTTGACAATTCCAAGCATAAGAGTTAGCATATTAGAGTGGTAAGGTTTTGTTAAGAAATTAAAATTGCTTAACACAGAAGTGTCTGAGTGGTGCCTTCCTAAGTTCATGCATAATAATCTTAATTATAAGAACTGTATCCTGCGGTGAGATTTGAATTTGGAGACCTGATATAAACACACTAAGACATAATCAGTAAATGTTAAAGCGAGAATAATTGTATTATACCGATTGATAATACGACCCTAGACAACGAAGCCGAGCTTAATCTGGCATACTTACAGCGCACCTGCATAACTTCATACAATTAATTGTATTATCCCGATTGATGATACGACCCTGGGCAACGAAGCTAAGCCTAATTATCATAACTGCCCACTGGCATAATCGCATACATTCACATACATCAATAAGATTATCTCTCTAATTGGCATAATTTATGCACATAATCACATTAATTAACATAATTTAAGACAATTACGCATTTTCTTCTTCCAAATTTCATTTAATTTTTATTATTTTCATTACATTTACAACACACGGCATATACAACAGTAGTGTATGTATGGTGTGTGTGGTGTGTGTGTGGGTTGCACCGTAGGGGAGCGGTGGTGCAGCGATTAGCGCTACGCTGCGCAATGAACCCATCGACCTAGGTTCGATTTCCGCTCACGGCCAACACCGATGGCGATTATCTGAACCGGTACTGGGCCTCTCTTAGGTCGACTCGGCCTCAAATGAGTACCTGGTGCGGTGTGTAGTAAACATCGCCACCGGGGAGACAAAGGCGGCCGGACATGGTGTTGGCCACCCACCCCCTCGTGTGCCGTTCCGGCTTTCATAGGTGCTCGCTAACAGCACTTGCCCCTACAGTCTGTTACAGGCTACAAGGCGCGTCTTTGTTTTGTTAAACCGTGGCCACCTCCGCATCTTCTTGAAGACGCGTGACCAAACCACCACCACAACCCCCACCACAACCCCCACCACCACCACAACCCCCACCACAACCCCCACCACAACCCCCCCCCCACCACCACATCCCCCACCACCACCACAACCCCCACCACCACCACAACCCCCACCACAACCACCACCACAACCCCCACCACCACCACAACCCCCACCACAACCCCCACCACCACCACAACCCTCACAACCACCACCACAACCCCCACCACCACCACAACCCCCACCACAACCACCACCACAACCCCCACCACCACCACAACCCCCACCACCACCACAACCCCCACCACCACACCCCCCCCCCACCACCACAACCCCCACCACAACCACCACCACAACCCCCACCCGCACCACAACCCCGACCACCACCACAACCCCCACCACCTTACGCTGGCAGTGGCCGTGAGCGCGCAGTTGCATGCAGTGGCCACGCAGTTTTTCAAACCTTTTAGTAGTTGTCGTAGTTGTTGTAATAATTAACTAAATGGCAGTGAAGGTAATTGAGTCGGTGGTAATTGAGTTGTAATGCGTACGGCAATTCGTGCCCCAGCACTCGGCCTTGGCATCTGTCAATGGGCCGTGATCGTGGCTTGCTCGACCACGTGCGCTGGGCCGAATGACCGTGGCAGATGTTGAGGTCGAATTCCCCGTTAGACGTTGGTAGTGTGTTTGCTGTGTGTTTTTATTTGTTTTACTCGTACGGCTACTGCTGGATGTAGAGACAACAACAACAACACCCACGGACTCATACTCTTTGATTCTTTCGGTAAAGTCACGTAGGTAGAAAATAAAAAAATAAATCACGACGTTTTGGGCGCAACACAAGCGTCCCTGATGATGGACGTTTGTGTTTACGCCCAAAATGTTACGATTTATTTTTTTTATTTTCTACCTACGTGACTTTACCGAAAGAACCAAAAAGTATGGATTCCTGCAGTCACGAAAGCTTCAAATCAAGACGCAGACTCATACCCAGTGCCGGATGATCCTCGTAGCGAAAGTGGCTACAAATGTAGTAGCTACTACACATGTAGTAGATACTACACGTGTAGTAGCTACGGACCCCAAACTTTCAAGGGCCCCCGCGCTAAACGCTTTCGAGCTATCAATTCCGGTTCAGTGACTCTGCACTTGCTCTATCACTATAGTACTATACCGCCTTCGACTTTTACGAACGGCCTGGGTGTTTAAGGTTAGCGATTCGTCGTATTATCTGGGGCTGTATAGCAAATAAAAAATATACAATTGCCTTACAGTGCAAGTAAAAACAATTGTCTTTGAAAATGTACAGGTGTTTTTAGTTATGTGTTTAGATCCCCCTTTATAACAACATGTGCTACAGGCCCCGCACGAGCTTCATCCGGCTCTGCTCATATCACGTGTCAACCCGTAACCGGTTAGCCCGTGTTCTTGTAGAGGGAAATTTGAGTTTTCAGGTGCATGCGGCGTTACAGCCGTTTCAATCCGGGCAAATAAAAAATATATATATTTGTGTCTATTTTGTTTGCGTTTCTCTCCTTGTGAAGGGACTTTGTAGGGTGAACGCTGAGATTTATAAGGGGCACGGCGTGACCAATAAGGTGTGAATCGTTCTGTAATAAGGTCGGGCACTGATAAGGGGTTGACAGGTATGACAACTTTACTATTTCACATTCAGGTGTTTGAAGGCCAGATGACAACCGCGTCAGGAGCAGTAGCGGAGGAGTGAATCATCATCGTCATCATCATCGTCGTCATCGTCGTCATCATCATCGTCGTCATCGTCGTCACCGTCAGCAACATGAGGCCACGTGTTCTCAATGCTTACCACGTGTTCTCAATGCTTGCCACGTGTTCTCAATGCTTACCACGTGTTATCAATGCTTACCACGTGTTCTCAATGCTTACCACGTGTTATCAATGCTTACCACGTATTCTCAATGCTTACCACGTGTTCTCACTGCTTAACACGTGTTTTCAATGCTTACCACGTGTTCTCAATGCTTACCACGTGTTCTCAATGCTTACCACGTGTTCTCAATGCTTACCACGTGTTCTCAATGCTTACCACGTGTTCTCAATGCCTGCCACGTGTTCACAATGCTTGCCACGTGTTCTCAATGCTTACCACGTGTTCTCAATGCTTACCACGTGTTCTTAATGCTTACCACGTGTTCTCAATTCTTACCACGTGTTCTCAATGCTTGCCAGGTGTTCTCAATGCTTGCCACGTGTTCTCAATGCTTACCACGTGTTCTCAATGCTTACCACGTGTTCTTAATGCTTACCACGTGTTCTTAATGCTTACCACGTGTTCTCAATGCTTACCACGTGTTCTCAATGCTTACCACGTGTTCGCAATGCTTACCACGTGTTCGCAATGCTTCAGGGGCGTGGGGCCGCGAGCAGCCCTCGTGAGACGTCAACACCGCAGGGGATGATCCTCTCCGTTCGGCGTTTCACAGCGTGGCGGTGTTTGTCTGCGAGTTCTTTCCTGAACTCCATTCGGCTGTCCCAAGCTGCATCGGGGGTGGAAGGGGGGGAGTGAACCCGCGTCTTCGTAGGTGAGGTCAGCTCCGGTGGTGTTTGGAGAGACGAGTGGAGGTCAGCAACAATGAACAATGAACAGGGCCATTAGTGGCAGCGTGCAGCGGACAATCAGCCGCGGTGATGTCTTGCTCGTGGATGGACTTGGCCACCGTCGTGGTAATGTGGACTTTCCACCGAGGCTGCTGTGCTGAGCCTCGCTGTCCGCGGCTAAGTTCGGCGGTTGAAGAGCGTTGGACGTTACCACGACGAGGCCGAGTACGGTTATGAAGCGGTACACCCACGGTTGAATTCACACTCGATCATTGTCACCACCGCCATCGTCATCATGCAGAATCAACATCTTCATCACGACATCATGATCATCATGATCACTCCGATCATCATCGTCACAAACCATCGCCACCACCGTCACCATCTTCACCACAATCATCATGTATCAATCTTCTTTGGCGTTCCAGAACCAATGTTGGGAAACTCCACATTCCCATGGACGGGTGCCAGTTTATCCCGCTGCACATTTCCTTACCAAGGAGTTGGGCCATAGAGGCACGTGCTTAGCGTACCGACACTGAAGACAAAGATCCCCCGTGTAGCCTCAACAGACTTTCGGGGCAAGTGCTGTTCGCGAGCACCTTTGAAGGCCGGCAATGTGACACACGACAGGGGTGGGTGGCCAACACCACGCCTGGCCGCCTTTGTCTCCCCAGTGGCGATGTTTACACACCGCACCAGATACTCATTTGCAGCTGAGTCGACCTAGGGGAGGCCCAGGACCGGTTCAGAGAATCGTCACCGCTGTTGGTGGCCGTGAGCGGGAATCGAACTCGGGTGGTCGGGTTCGTAGCGCAGCGTAGCGCTAACCGCTACACACAACACACACTCACACAACACTCACAACACACTCACTCACAACACACACTCACACACAACACACACTCACAACACTCACACACAACACACACTCACAACACACAACACTCACACACAACACACACAACACTCACGCACACACAATACACACTCACACACTCCCAACACACATACTCACACACAACACACTCACTCACGCACACAACACATACTCACTTACAACACACACAACACACTCACGCACACAATACACTCACACACGCACACTCACTGAAAACACACTCACAACACACACTACACACAACACATACTCACACACAACACACACTACACACACCACACACTCACACACAACACACACTCACATACAACACACACTACACACAACACACACTACACACAACACATACTCACACACAACACACACTCACACACAACACACACTACACAACACATACTCACACACAACACATACACACAACACACACTACACACACCACACACTCACACACACTACACACAACACACACACACAACACATACTCACACACAACACACACAACACACACTACACACAACACATACTCACACACAACACATACTCACACACAACACACACTACACACACCACACACTCACACACACTACACACAACACACACTCACACACAACACACACTACACACAACACACACTACACACAACACACACTCACACACAACACACACTACACAACACATACTCACACACAACACATACTCACACACAACACACACTACACACTACACACACCACACACACACTACACACAACACACACTCACACACAACACACACTACACACAACACATACACACAACACATACTCACACACAACACACACTACACACTACACACACCACACACTCACACACACTACACACACTCACACACAACACACACTACACGCAAGACACACACAACACACACTAAACACTACACACACCACACACTCACACACAACACACAACACACACTACACACTACACACACCACACACACACTACACACAACACACACTCACACACAACACACACTACACACAACACATACACACAACACATACTCACACACAACACACACTACACACTACACACACCACACACTCACACACACTACACACAACACACACTCACACACAACACACACTACACGCAAGACACACACAACACACACTAAACACTACACACACCACACACTCACACACAACACACAACACACACTCACACACAACACACACAACACACACTACACACGACACACACCACTCACGCACACACAACACACACTCACACAACACTCACGCACACAACACACACTCACTCACAACACACACTACACACAACACACACACAACACACTGACGCACACAACACACACTCACACACAACACACACACACACTCGCACACAGCACAAACCTACACAACAAGACACCCGCCAAAACACAACACACACAACACAAACCTACACAACACACACGCACAACACACTCACAGCACACTCACACACAACACACACAACACACTCACACAGCACACTCACACACAACACACACACAACACACACTCGCACGCAGCACAAACCTACACAACAAGACACTCGCACAACACACACGCACACAAGACACACAACAACAACACACTCGCACACAACACACTCACTTACACAGCTCACACGCAGCACAAACCTACACAACAAGACACTCGCACAACACACACGCACACAACACAAACCTACACAACACACACGCACAACAAAACACACACGCACAACACAACACATCACACACAACACACACTCGCACGCAGCACAAACCCACACAACAACAACAACACACTCGCACACAACACTTACACACAACACACTCACACACAACACACACACTCACACACAACACACTCACACACAACACACACAACACACTCACACACAGCACACACTACACACAACACACACTCACATACAACACACACTACACACTACACACAACACATACACACAACACACACTCACACACAACACACACTACACACAACACATCACACACAACACACTCACACACAACACAACACACACAACACACTCACACACAACACACTCACACACAACACATACTCGCACGCAGCACAAACCCACACAACAACAACAACACACTCGCACACAACGCACTCACTTACACAGCTCACACGCGCGTTTCACAAATGCATTGTCCGTGTACGAATTGAGATCTTCCGTCGGCGTCTGCTGCAGCGTTAGGAGGGCGAATGCTTCTCCAAACAGACAAACATTTGGCAACCTTTAACAGCAGACCGCTCTCTCTCTCTCTGCATGATAAAGGCTTTTTGGTTAGATCGCGTGCAGTATAAATGCCGTGTGAGGAAACCCTCCAACACCCGGCACGAACAATCAGTAAGGGATTTGTCACGTAAACAAAACGTCAAATAGTTACTAGTATAGTGTAGTAGTGTATAGTGTAGTGATGTAGTGTATAGTGTAGTGTAGTAGTGTAGTGTATAGTAGTGTATAGTGTAGTGTGTAGTAGTGTTTAGTGTAGTGTAGTAGTGTATAGTGTAGTGTAGTAGTGTATAGTAGTGTAGTGTATAGTAGCGTAGTAGCGTATAGTAGTGTATAGTGTGGTGTGTAGTAGTGTGTAGTAGTGTAGTGTGTAGTGTAGTAGTGTAGTGTATAGTAGTGTAGTGTAGTAGTGTATAGGAGTGTGAAGTGTTGTCGTGTATAGTAGTGTATAGTGTAGTGTATAGTAGTGTATAGGAGTATGTAGTGTAGTAGTGTATAGTGTAGTGTAGTGTGTAGTGTATAGTGTAGTGTATAGTGTAGTGTATCTAGTTTATAGTGTAATGTAGTACTGTACAGTAGTGTAGTGTATAGTGTAGTAGTGTATAGTGTAGTATGTAGTAGTGTATAGGAGTGTGTAGTGTATAGTGTAGTGTAGTAGTGTAGTGTATAGTGTAGTATACTACTTCAGCCCACCAGTGTGTTGAAGAGCGAAGTCGTGACCTATTTGTCGTTGTGTTTACGTCACAAATCCCTTACTGCTTGCCCGTGCCGGGTGGTGTAGGGTTCGACACGACGTGTACACTGCACGCGATCTCACCCACAAACCTCGATTATGAATCATGTTGGTCGCGACAGCCTGCTCCTCCATGTCTTTCTCTCCATGTCTCTCTCCCTTTCTCTCTCCATGTCTCTCTCTCCCTGTCTCTCTCCCTTTCTCTCTCTCCATGTCTCTCTCCCTTTCTCTCTCCCTGTCTCTCTCCCTTTCTCTCTCCATGTCTCTCTCTGTTTTTTTTACGATCAGAGGAAACAAGAAGATGCTCGGTGTAATCGGCACTTTGCTTCGTTCATCATTTCTGTTATTTTCTAAATGCTTTGCTTTATGTAACCCCCCCCCCCTTTTTAAATGAAATATTTAACAAAATATTTCTCGCTCTGCTCTCCTTACCCCTTTCCTCCCTCTCTACCCCCCTCTCCGCCCCCCCTCTCTCTACCCCCTCTCTTCCTACTCCATGTCGCTCTCGCTCTCTTTCGCTCTCTCTCTCGCTCTCTCTCTCGCTCGCTCTCTTTTTTATAACTACGACAAGTGCTGCATCTGCACGCAGCCCTTCCCACAGTCAAACGACCTCCGACGGGTAGCTCAGATCTGCATGCAGAGCTCTCCGTCATCTGCCACCGAGCACACGGCCTCCTCCAGCGCCCACTGCTCCTTGAAGGCCGGCAAGGCGTGGGTCAGCCGTGCATGGCGGAATTCCAGCCACACCCTGGCTCCGACCAGAGCGCGGAAGATGCCCAGACTGCTGGCCGGACGTTGCCCCTCCAGGGCTACCTTCCTCGCCCTGTATACGGCGAGCTTGGCGTAGCCGAAGAGCACGTTGACCAGCCCCTGAAGATGTTGGGGTCCGTCGCCTTTTGGGTATCCAAAGATGAGGACCGTCGGGGAGAAG